AGGGCTGATGCGGTAAGTCGGCTTCGGGGCAGGTGAAGCACGTTCCTCGAGCTCGCTGAAGTTCTCTGCCGTCGATCAGTAAGAGTGAATCCTTGTCAAGTACTCCAGCTCTTATCGTGTTGTTTAATACTGTGTTGCTTGGGTGTCCCATTCTTGCGTGCCAGGTTTCTTCGTTGGCGCGGTGTCCTGGCGAGCGTCGGTATATGTCGGAGTTGGAGTAGAGGCCGGCGATGATGTTCGCGCTTCTATGAACTTCCCGTGGTGCCGGGTTGAGCTGCTGCGCCGGTGTTGGCGGCGTCTCGTCGATGAAGGGCTGTGCCGTTGAGGGACCGGCGACTGGTGTTGATGTTTCTGCTGCTGCTGCTGTTGTCTGTGCTGCTGTCGATGTTGTTTCTGCTGCTGCCAATGTTGTCTCTACTGCTGCCGATGTTGTCTCTGCTGTTGCCGATGTTGTCTCTGCTGCTGCCGATGTTGTCTCTGCTGCTGCCGACTGCTGAATTGTCGCCAGCGCCCTTGTTCTTTCTGTTTCAGGGATGGTGTGTGAGTACCAGAAGCCGCTCGGGCTGAAGTCTGGATCAAGATCTGGAGGATGTGTCCAGTCAGTGAAGTTGACGATGGCGTCGCTGTCGGCCGTTCCGAGATCGGGGACGAAGTCAAGAACGAAGACGTTGTTCTTGAGAACCGCCTTGCCGATGTAGAGACCTCCTCTCCCGTGGTACAGCTTGAATTCCTGGGTTGTGCTGTCTGCTTCAAGGTGAATGCCTTTCGCCATCAGTTGACTGACGCTGAGTAAGTTGTAGCCGAGGCCTTCTGCAATTAAAACCTTGGACATCTGTAGAATGACGTTCGTTTCTCGTGACTGAAGTTGAACAACTCCTTGTCGTCGTGTGCGCAGGTTCTGATTGTTGGCGACGGTGATGACCACCTCTCGTTGAAGCTGGTATTCTCGTTGTACGAAGCGTCCTGAGGAGCACATGTGTTGTCCGCAGCAACTGTCCAAGAACCACGTGTCCTTCCCGGATGGCTCGTTTTGGGCTATGGCAGCGTATGTCGGGTTCGGCTGAAGTGACTCGCGGCGTGGTGTCGTTTCGTCGAATTGCTCTTCTGGTGAGTAGTACGGTGGCGATTCTGTGATGCAAGAATCGTTCAGTCTTGCCATGCAGCTAACGATGTTTCTTGCTCCTTGCGCAGGTTGTCCCGTTGGAGTTGTTGAAGATTGGAGCTGGGTCGTTGGATTCGGCTGTGTTGATGCGACTTGATTGCTTGAAGGTCGTAGCTGTCGCTGCGGAGTCGTTGACGGTTGTCGATTCGGGCAGTGTGTGCGCGGGTGTCCTGAAGTCTTGCAGATGTGGCAGAAAGGAGGTACTGGCTTCGGTTGTTGTTGTCGATTGTTGTAATTGTTGTGACGTCGTTGAGTGTGAAACGCGAACTCTGATGTTGTCGTCTTCTTTCTGTGTCGTTCTTCTTGCAGGTCCATGTCCTGCTGCTCAGCGTGGATTTCGGCGCAGAGTGCTGCTTCAGAGATTCTGCCGTGGGCTCGGAGGATAGCTTTGGTGGCGCGCCATTGGGGACCGAGACCACCAATGATGACTGTCACGAAGGCGTCTTCAGAGATTGACCCTCCGCATCGAAGAAGCTTGTCGCGCAGTTCGCGACATCGGCTGATATACGCCATCCCCTTTTCTCCCGGTTTCATTTCAACTGTTGTCAACTGCGCCATTAACCTGCTTTGGTTTACGCTGTCTGTTGCTTGATACAGGCTCTTCAGGTGGCTGTACGCGAGCTCAGCGGAGTTGCCGTAACCCCGGTAAGAGCGTATGTTCTGCTGCTGAGTTGGTGTGACGTTCCTCAGTAGAATCGTATACGCCATCATCGATTGATACGTATACTGCTGCTTCTCATACTGTGTGCCGTTTGCTGGATATTGCAGGGACCCGTCGAAGAAGCCGAGTATCTGCGCGCCTTCCATCATTAACTCAAACTCGAATGACCAGGTGAAGAAGTCCTTTCCGTCGAAGGGCCTTGATGTCTGCAGCTTCAGAACGTGCGCGAACTGCGATTGCACTTGTAATGCGTCCAGTGGTTTATCTTGTCCAGGTGAAGGCTGCGGCATGAAGCTGATCGACCCGCGCTCGTACGGGGCGAAGGTAGGTTGCTGCTGTTGGTTTCCGCGCGCATATGACGACCCGTCAAGGCTCATGGGTGTTGCTCCGTTGTTGTTGCTGTTGTGTGATTGTGCAGGTCCCGACTGCTGGTGCTGCTCGTAGAAGGACATGAAGGAGAAGAACTTCTCCATTATACTCGGGTCGAAGTTCGCGGGGTGATTTGCGGGAGTTTCAGTAGATGTTACTCTTGGTCTTGTTGCCGTGCCTTCCTCTGTCTGCAGGCCAGAGGCAGGAGGTGGAGTAGGAGTAGTGCCTGGGGAGCCGTTAGAGGAGCTCCTTTCCTTGCTTGTTGCCATGTCTTGTAATGATTTGAAGGTAGTAGAGTTTCCCCTGTTTGCTCTCATACCATGTTGGGCTGAGATAGCCCCTTAGGATCTTTCAAGGGAGAACTCTGGATGGATAGTGTTGTAATAGCGGAAGCGTTTAACAAAAGTTTGTGAACCACCTTGCGCTGGTATGTGAGGGCAAAGTAGATTGATTATAGCAAGGAAGTACAAGATTATATAATAATACAAGGAATATGAAAGGATGCAGTTTGTAACTACTTTACTGTTGCTGTTGCGGTTCGATACAGTACGACTCGGGCAACTGCTCTGTAACGAGTCAGCTGTGTGTCCTTAACTGTCGCGCTGTATTTGTCAGGTCAAAGGTCGCTTGACCTTTGACTTTCGCGTAACCTCCAGCAACCTCTTTTAACCTCCGAGGGTTGACTCGCGGGTGCTTCGACATGGCGTGCTTCGCTTCTGGTGTGGTGTTTCGACACGACAGAGGCGTTTACAATTTATTGTTTCCAACAAAAATGACATTTTGGTAAATCCTATTAGCGACAAATGCGCATTTTCCAGATAGAAATCGCATTTCTGACCAGCAGGCTCCTGCGAAACGGGTTCAGGAAACGATACAGTAAACGAAAGAAGAGAATATAACGAAATACGGAGAACAAGAGCGAGAGAGAGAAAGAGGACGAGAGAGAGAGGACGAACTCGAGAGAACGAACGAGAGAGAGGACGAACGCGAGAGAACGAACGAAAGAGAACGAACGAGAGAGAATGAACCTAAGAGAGAGAACGAGAGAGAGAGAGAGAGAGAGAGAGAACGAGAGAGAGTGAGAGAACGAACGAGAGAGAAAACGAACGAGAGAGAGAGAGAACAAGAGAAAGAGAAAGAGAGAAAGGGAACGAGAGAGAGGGACCGAGAGAGGGAGAACGAGAGTGAGAGAACGAGCGAGAGAGAACGAAAGAGAGAGAGGGAGAACGAGAGAATGAGAACGAGAAACAGAGAACGAGAACGAGAACGAGAGAATGAGAACGAGAAACAGAGAACGTGCGAGAGAAAGAGAGAACGAGAGAGAGGGAACGAGAGAGAGAACGATAGAGAACGAGAGAGAGAGAACGAGAGAGAGAGAACAAGAGAGAGAGATGAGATAGAGAGAGAGCAAATTCATAACTACGGTTTCAAAAGAGCATATGTAGTATTCAAAATATGACGGTTAGAAGGATGTGACGGTTCTAAACCGAATAAAAGCAAAGGGTGAAAGAAAAATGGATTCAAAACAAGGGAGAGAGGATGAGAGAGAGGGAGGACGAATGAGAGGAAACGAACGAAATATGATGAAATAAAACATACAATTATGATTTACTACCATTCGAAAGCAACAATGAACCGTAGCTGCAGCTAATTAATATCATACAAGAGACATATGTCTTCTGGATTGTCTAATGTTATTGGATTGACTCACACCTTGTTATGTTTAAAGGAAACTAGAGACTCAAGCATGGAGGAGTAATAAGGAACGATTGAAAGGGAAAGAGAACGAGGCAAAACCAGAACTTAAGCTTAATCAACTGACATCCTTTAAATAAAACCAGCAGAAGAGAAAACGACTATGATACGAGATTAAGCTAGCTTGTAATACTATAGATAGCACTGCTATCATACGATTAAGATAGCTACGACTATGATACGCGGCCACACACTAGGTACTAATCATCTAAGGGTTAGGGTTGTTCTTACCTTAGTAGAAACTGGTAGGTGGAGCCTAACTAGGAGCTCAACCAGCGGGAGGGAGGAAGAAAAAGAGCACGAGCAAACCCTAAAGAAGTTTCAGATTCGTCGAGCAAAAGTTTACCTAAAAAGACCTTTGAAGATTGGAAACAGTGGCGTTGGTGCAGCTGTTAAGAAAAAAAAAATGTGAATCTAATGGTTTCAAATTCTAATCCTGCAGGGACACTTTTAGAATCTTTGGCACTAAGTACCAACTTAATGTCATACTACAGCATTGTGTATAGTCTACAGCTTTATAAAATTTGTGTATTTACCAATACGTAAGACTACAACGCTTCGCAACCCTAGGAAGACATTGTTTTTTTTTTTTGAAGAACTAGTTTGCACTATACCAATGCAAATACATTCACAGTCGTAACTGATGGATTGTCCCATTGATCATTTGGAGGTTTGTAGAATTGCAAAACTCGAGAATGTAGTCTCAGATTTCACACATCCATAGGATGACAGATGAGCCTATGGACTAGTTTCAATGTGCCGTCCAACCAAGGTTGTTGGAAGTCGCACTCTTTATTCCGAAGTCGAGTGCCGTTTATTCTTTGTTATTTTCTGTTTCCGGCCAACTTTATTCAGGGAGATTCAGGTCTGGACTTCTGTCTCGACGTATCGAATGCGCAGTCCCGCCTTGCCGCGACAGTAGCTTCCTCGTTATCACCCTCCGCCGCATGCGAAGCCTTGTCGAGCCGAGAAACGCCTAAGCTGCGTCACCCGCGACGAGTCTTCATTCGCCACTCGAACAGTTCCGCGGCCTCTGATTCGTTCTAAGCGTCATCACTTCCCGCTGCTGTCAACGTCAGGTTCTTGCCCTACCCCAGCCCAGCCAGAGCTCGTCCATCCGAGGAAAGCCTCTGCCGTGTATTTCGCGGGGTTGCTGATCCGCTGCGGCGACACCCAGCTGGCACGTGGCATGCGCGCTCCGGGCCCGGTGCTCTGAAACTCAGCGAAGAACACGCCGTTAATCTTGGCCTGCGTCACTGTGTCGGCGTCCCACGTGAGCCACCCGTCGGGCTGGATCTCCTTGGGAAGGAAGCAGTTGATGAAAATGGAAGTCCCCGTGTTGGTCCACGGCCTTCCCAGATACGCCTTTCCCACGCCCGCGTCTGAAGAGATCACCGCGTTTCGGATAATAATCCCTTTGGGATCCGGATACTTGGGGTCGTTCTGCGGTGCGGTGATAATCACCGGATCGTCCGGATGAAGCCTGATTTGCGGGCGGTCGAAAACAGCCGCGGATTTGCCGAAAATGAAGTCAACAGTGCCGCCGACTTTGCAGTCGCGGAAGTACTGCCGGCCGCTGTGCGGGTAGAGCGTGTCTTGCGCGCCGTCGAACTCGCACTCAAAGAAGGCTGAGAGGTCCTTAGAACGCAGCGCCACTGCCTGCTCGCCCGCCGGCCCGGCTGTGTTGCGGACGGTTATTCCGAGTGCTGTCAGCATGCCCTTGTTGGCGCCTAGGGAGGGGAGGGGAGGGATGGCATAGTGGTAGAGATGGAAAGAAATTTTTGAGGATTGGAAGGGAGATTGAAGGGAGAAAGCGAGGAAGGAGAGAGAGTGGACAAAGAGACGGAATAAAGGGGGAACGAGGAATATTCCTTACCAATGGTAGCAGAGTTGTAGGTGGTTGATCCGCCATTCACACTCTTCTTGCCAGTGATGATAGTGTTGCCGATTCCTTCGCCGACAAGGACAATCCCCTTGTTGTCGAAGATAACCTGCTCGTCGTACACTCCCGCCTTGATGAAAATAACGAACGTGCCTTTCATTGGTGCGGCGGCAATTGCAGCCTGGAAGAAACCAGGGTGAGCAAAAAGGAAAAAGAAAGGGTTTTTATTATGCACAGGGAAATGGTACTGCATGTAGTCGTGACACCAACCTGTGTCCTTCTACTCTCACCGCTAGCCGTCACATCATCCTTACCTTGAGCGTCTTGTGGGTGCCGGAGCCGTCCTTCGCGACGATCGCATCCACCTGGGACGGCAGCAAGCTGCTGTAGTCGGCCTTGAAGTCCCCAGTATCCAAAAGGCCTCCCATATTCACGCCCGGCTTCACGCCCGGTTTCACGCCCGGTTTCCCGCCGTTCTTCCCGCCGTTCTTCCCGCCGTTCTTCCCGCCCGTCCCTACGTGATGGCCGCCCGTCCCGCCGTGTTGCCCGCCTGTCCCGCCGTGATGCCCGCCCTGGCTCTTCTTGCCGACGCTCTTGGAAACCGAACCTGAACCCGAAGTCTGAAGCGCCCTCCGAACAGGGTTACCAGCTTCGTGAGAATCACCCGCATCCCCGCCATAAGCGTAATCCACACCCGCAACATCCACGCCGAGAAGTCTCCGCGCGCCTCCAGAGGTACCCCCCCCCATTTGCGCCGCCTGAATCCTCTTCAGGTGCTCAAAAATTCCCGGGGCTACCCACCCAGGCGCGTCGCTTCCGCCTGATTGGTCCGTTTCCGTCGTCATCCGGCGGCGTGGGGGTGAGGCGTAATCGTACTCGTAAGCATCGGCGAAATCATCGGCGGAAAAATTCCCGCCTGCGGAGGCGGAAAGCTCGTCGTCCCCCCAAAGCCCGTCGCTTGCGGAAGGGACGAACGCGTGGGCTGCGGTGACTGTGACTGTAATGAGCGTGACCTCCCCCTGGAGTCGCACTCCCGGCTCCGTGTCCAGCGCATCAGGCGCAAATTCCTGCAGCCCCTCCACGCAGCCGTCGATGTTGGCTCGAGCTGACGTCAGCAGGTACGGCACGTCGTTAACGGAAACCGTCATTTCGGCCGGGAACATAGGGCGCCGGTTTTCCGGAGTGGAATCTGAACCGTTGATTGCGGCGGTGACGGCAATCAGAGAATCCTCAAGGTTGTCGAGCGCCATGGATATCTGCAGTAGGGAGCGAGGGAGGGACGGGGAGGGACGGGGAGGAGATGGACAGGGGAGCACAGGCTTTATAAAGCGCAAAACGCAGATAAGTTTCCAGCGTTTCGGCATTTGATAGTTTCAGGTGCCAAGTGAAAGTAGCTATTTTTCTGTTCTATAACATCTTCCAACCTAATATTTGTTCTCTCACCTGGTGAATGCAGTCAGTCACTGCCGCGTCCGTGAGGGAGCTTTCGCCCGCGTTTTCCGCCTTCAGCTGCGCCACGTGATCCATTGTCGCTTGCGAGCGCTCCATTGCGCGCCGAATGAGCGCACGCTGCATGTCGCGAGGAGTTCGTGGAGTGGAATCCGCTACATGTCGCAACGAGCGCCGCGCGGAAACAATCTCCGCGGAGCACAGGGCGGAGTGCTCGGGCAGCAGAGCGCATGCGTCAGGCAGCGGAATATCTTCGGTGAGAAGCCGCGCAGTAGATTGACCAATCAGAGCAATGGAGAATGCGACGATGAGAACGAAAGGCATGTATGCCCTCGAACCCATTTTAATAATTCCCATCGTCTGTGACGAAGCAAAACTTCCCCCCAGTCGCTTCAGTGCCGATGGCTGAAACTATTGACACAGCACTACTGAGTTAGCACAGGGTTATAATGGCGGATATAGGAATGGGCAATGATGGAACGATGACAGGTGGGGAATGAGAAATATTGATGTACTGTGGCGTCGACAGAATGGGTGAGTAGAAATGTCGTGAATTGTGAATCTATTTATGGGTGTTGTGTTCCCCTCTCTGTACGTACGGTAGGTCGAGAGTATGGCCAGCAGCACACATGCGGCTCGAGCCTGGGTAGTAGATCTTTCGCGGTGCGAGAGGAGGAAGGAGAGAAGCTGACGTGTCATCCTACAATGCTCCGTAACTCACGCCCGTGTTGAAGCCAAATAATTGTGCGCAAATAATCGTGTGCCCTGGCTAGAGCGCGATGCCTGCAATTATTGTTGTAACACTGTACTTCCTTCTGCTCGGCAGAAGCAGTTTCTTTAAGCGTAAACAAATAGATGCGTATCTTACTTTACATATACAATGATTGTATAATGACACATAAAACACAGGCTAGCGACAAAATTGAAATGAAAGATAGAAAGAGAAATCCATGTTTAAAATGATCATTTTCCTTACAACAAAAACAAAAACAAAAATAATAATAGATAGGGTACTTAAAATCTTCTGCCAACCCATTGTTTGCAAAACACCATTTGCTACACATCTAGCGTCAAAAGGATTACTTCAGTTGTTATAATGATCCTGCTAATATGAGGTATATTCGGGCTATGAACATATTCGGGCTACGAGGCAACGTCAGGTTGTACAACTTTCTTGTACGCCTACTGCGGTTAAGTTTGTGTTAACACGGTGCAGAGCGGTAAACGTCGAGGACCGTTTTTAACCGTCTTTTACCGTCCTGAACCACGTATAAAGAACTGTTAACCCATGAGAAATGTAGAACCTGACGTCGCCCTAACATGAGGTATATTCAGCCCTTGGCTGGCGAACCAGCGGCTAGCACGCCCTAAATATCTTGCCACGCCACATAGTGTCTAGGCCTGATGCCTCCTATATAGCATACCATCCAAGCTGGGTTTAGTTTGCTCCTGTACGCGGGGACTGCTAGCCGCGAGCGCGCAACAGCACGATGGCGGCACGATATGAAGATAAATACCAAATTCCAGCCAAATATATTATTATAATAATGATACAGGATTATTCAACAACACTTGTCGCGACAACATTCGACAGATTATGACAGGAAGGGGCCTACGATGTGGCGCGCGTTGCGACCCAGATCGACGTGCCATCCAACCGAGGTTGCTGGAGCCCCATATAACATTCCCAACGACGTACCCTTTCTTGTTTATTTTAGGGTTTCTGGCCGACTTTATTGGGGACCTCAACTGTAGTCACCGGCGTTTTGGCGAATCAGATCACGCTGTCCCGTGAAGTTTTTGTCATCACCCTCCTTCATCACCCTCCCGCTATCACCCCCCTTCTACTATCACACGCCCTCACCTCTCTGGCTGCGTGAAAACCTTCGTCCAGCTGACGAACGCATCAACGGTTTACCCGCAACGGTTCTCTCTTCTCTCTAACCCGTTTCGCGGCCTTGCTTCACTATAAGCGTCATCGCTTCCAAAGTCAGGCCCCCATCCCCGCCCAGCCTTTGCGCGTCTATCCGAGGAATATCTCCCGCCGTGAATCGCGCGGGAGTTGCTGAACCTTTGCGGCGACACCCAGCTGGCACGCGCATTGAAGAATCAAGTACAACGTCACGGCCCCATCCCCCCCCATCCTTTGCGCGCCCAGCCTTTGCGCGTCCAGCCGAGGAAAGCCTCTGCCGTGAATCGCGCAGGGTCGCGAATCCTCTACGGCGATACCCAGCCGGCACGCGGCAGTGAAGAAACAAGTACAACGTCAGCCCCCCCCGGCAACGTCAGCCCCCCTCCCCACCCCTCACCCCGCCCAGCCCAGCACTTCCCCCACTCTTAACAAAAGTCACGCCCCTATCCCCGCCCAGCCTTTGCGCGTCCAGCCAAGGAATTTCTCGGCCGTGAATCGCCCAGGGTTGACAATCGTCTGCGGAAACACCCAGCTGGCGCGCGGCATGCGCGCTCCGGGCCCCGTGCTCTGGAATTCGGCGAAATAGACGCCGTTCTTCCTCGCGAGCCTCACTGTGTCCGTGTCCCACGTCGTCCACCCTTCCGGTTGGATTTCCTGGTAGTTGAAGGGTGGGAAGGTGAGGTAAGTAAGGTGGGGTGGGGAGGTGACGCCGTTCTTCCTGGCGAGCCTTGTGGTATCCGCGTCCCACGTCGTCCACCCTTCCGGTTGGATTTCCTGCAGGGGTGAAGGGATTGGGAGGTGTTGTGTGGAGGTGGGTTGGGGTGAGGTGGGGTGGGCCAGGGTGGGGTGGGGTGGGGTGGGCCGGGGTGGGGTGCGGTGGCATGCCCCCAGCTGACACGTGGCATGCGCGCTCTGGGGCTGGTGCTCTGGAACGACGCCGTTCTTCTCACGGTGCTGAGGTGAGTGGGGATGTGGGGGGAAGCGGCTGGGGGAAGCGGTAAAGTGATAAAGCATTGGGGCAACCTGACTCACCTTAGGCAGGAAGCAGTTTATGAAAATCGCCTTGCCCGTGTTGGTCCACGGCCTTCCCAGGTACGCCTTCCCCACCCCCGCATCAGCAGTAATCACCGCATTCCTGATAATGATCCCCTTTGGCTCGGGATACGTGGGGTCGTTCTGTGGCGCCGTGATAATCACCGGATCGTCCTTATGAAGCCTGATCTGCGGGCGGTCGAACACAGCCGCGCCTTTCCCGAAGATAAAATCCACCGTACCGCCCACTTTGCAGTTGCGGAAGTACTGCCGCCCGCTGTGCGGGTAAAGTGTGTCCTGGTTGCCGTCAAACTCGCACTCGAAGAAGGCTGAGAGGTCTTCGGAGCGAAGGGCTACTGCCTGCTGGCCCACTACCCCTGCTGTGTTGCGCACGGTGATTCCGAGGGCGGTGAACATGCCCTTGTTGGCACCTGTGGAGGGAGGGAGAAGGGGAGAGGGAGAGAGGGGGAGAGAGGGGGAACGTGAGGGGGCTGGGGGTGAGAGGAAGTGGTATAGAGTATTGCGCTGTGCGGGTAGAGTGTGTCTTGGTTGCCGTCAAACTCGCACTCGAAGAAGGCTGAGAGGTCTTCAGAGCGTAAGGCTACCGCCTGCTGACTACCCCTGCTGTGTTGCGGACTGTGATTCCGAGAGCCGTAAACATACCCTTGTTGGCGCCTGGGGAGAAAAGAGCCAGAAAGTGAGAGGCAGAGTGAGGAAGAGAGAGGAGGGAGCGCAGCTGCGCAGAGCCACTGCCTGCTGGCCCACTGTCCCAGCTGTGTTGCGCACTGTGATGTCCAGCGCCATCAGCATGCCCTTGTTGGCGCCTGGGGGTGGGGGAAATAGAGAAAGAGAGTGGAAAAAGCGTGTCTTCTGAGCGCAAGGTCACTGTCTGCTGGCGCATTGGCCCGGCTGTGTTGCGCACGGTGATTCCGAGTGCTGTAAACGTGCCCTTGTTGGCACGTGGGGGGAGGTGGAAGGGGGATTTGGAGAAGGAAGCTTGGGAGCAAGATATCACGGGTGAGAGAGAAGGGGAGAATGAGAGAGTGAGAGGTGTCGCACTGTCATGAGTCATGTAGCCATGGCGAGCTAGGCAGGAGTTGGAAACGGCAGAAGTAGGGAGGAGAGTGTGAGCTGTAAGGGTAGTTACGCGATAGTGAGAGAAAGAGAGGGCGAGAGAGGGAACGGAACGGCTGTGTTGCGCAAGGAGAATGAGAGAGAGAGGTGTCATGAGTCATGTAGCCATGGCGAGCTAGGCAGGGGTTGGAAACGGCAGAAGTAGGGAGGAAAGTGTGAGCTGTAAGGGGAGAGAGGAGGGATAGAGAGAAGAGAGGGCGAGGAGAGAGAAATGAGAGAGCGAGGAAAAGGAGAGAGGGGAGAGAGTGAGAGGAAGAGAGCTTACCAAGGGTAGCGGAGTTGAACGTAGTGGATCCTCCAACCACATTTTTGTTGTTAGTGATGATAATCTTGCCCATTCCCTCGCCCACCAATACAATCCCACCAGATGAGGAGAGTGGAAGGGTACTGACCAAGAGTAGCAGAGTTGACCCGCCAACCACGCTCTTCTTTCCAGTGATGATAGTCTTGCCCATTCCCTCCCCCACCAGAACAATCCCCTGGTAGCTGAGTTGTAAGTGAACAAAGGCAGGGAAGATTGCTCACCAATAGTAGCAGAGTTGAACGTAGTGGATCCGCCAACCACATTTTTGTTGTTAGTGATGATTGTCTTGCCCATTCCCTCTCCCACCAAAACGATCCCCTGGTTATCAAAGAGTATTTGCTCGGTGTACACTCCTGCCTTGATGAATATAACGAAAGTGCCTTTCGATGGTGCAGAAGCAATCGCAGCCTGCATTCAACCAACGAGGACAGCAAAAAAAAAAAAAAGGTTTCTGTCACAAGGGTTGCGGAAAAAGCTGACGCCTAACATCGTTCCGAGCGTGCAATAGGAAATTAAAAGACGAGACGATTATCTTTGTGCAACCTTTCCCTTGAATCATCCCTCGTTAACCTCTCTTACCTTGAGCGTCTTGTGCGTGCCGGAGCCATCCTTTGCAACGATCGCATTTATCCGGGGCGGCAGCAGGCTGTTGTATTGGCCGTTAAAGCCGCTCGTATCCAAAGTCCCTCCCACTTTTACGCTGGAGCTCCCGCCGATTTGGCTAAGCTTCCCGTTGCTGCTGCTTTGAAGCCCCCTCCGAAGCGTGTCGCCGGATTCGCGCGAATCAACCGCGTCCCCGCTATAAGCGGAATCCATGCCCTCGCCCGTCAGGCGGCGCCGGATAGAGTCACTCTGCGCCGCTGCTTCCCCCGCATCGTCCCCTCTCTCTGCGCCTTCCGAGCCAAGGAGTCTCCGCGCGTCCGGCGCGACCCCCGCGTCTCCGCCGCACATGTGCACCGCCTGAATGCGCTTCAGGTGCTCGAAAATCCCCGGAGTTACCCACCCAGGCGCGCCGCTGTCGCCTGATTGGTCCGTTTCCGTTGTGATTCGGCGGCTAGGGGACGAGGCGTAGTCGTACTCGTAAGCGTCGGCGGAATTGTCGACGGAGTAATCCGCGGAAGAATCTCCGCCTGCTGAGGCGGAAAGCTCGTCGTCGATTGCGCACGGGACGCACGCGTGGGCTGCAGTGACTGTGACTGTAATGAGCGTGACTTCCGATTGAAGTTGAATACCCGGCGCCGTGTCCAGCGCATCTGGCGCGAATTCTTGCAGCCCCTCGACACAGCCGTCGATGTTGGCCCGAGCTGACGTCAGCAGGTACGGCAGGTCGTCAACGGAAGCCGTCAGATCGGCCGGAAACATCGGACGGCCGTCGGAATGCAGGCTCTTCGGGGTGGCTTGTGAACCGTTGATTGCGGCAGTGACGGCGTCTAGCGAATTCTCGAGATTGTCGAGCGCCATGGATATCTGGAGGGCGAGCAAGGGAGGGAGGGAAGGATCGAGGGAATGAGGGTTCTGTCTGTTTTGAAGTCAAGAACGGATAGTTGAACAGGACGAGGGAGGGAGACGAATAGCAGGGTACGGAGGAAGCACGGATGCAGTTGTTCCCGTCATGCTAGTTACTAGGGGTTTACATTCTAGCGGCAGACTGAAAATTGTTCTTTAGATGATCTATCGTCCAATGTATTCTTTTTACCTGGTGAACGCAGTCAACCGCCGCCGCGTGCGTGAGCGAGCTTTCGTCCGCGCTTTCCGCCTTCAGCTGCGCCACGTGTTCCATCGTTGCCTGCGCGCGCTCCATTGCGCGCCGAATGAGCGCCCGCTGTATTTCGCGAAGAGTTGGCGGAGCGGAATCCGCGCGCAGAGAACGGCGCGCGGAGAGGACTTCCGCGGAGCACAGGGCGGAGTGCTCCGGCAGGAGAGCGCATGCGTCGGGCAGCGGAACATCCTCGTTGAGAATACGGGCAGTAGCTTGACCAATCAGAGCAATTGCGAATGCTACTATGAGAAGGACAGACCTGTCCGTCGTCGAGCCCATGATGGAAGTTCTCATCTCCCGTGAAGACTTGTTTTAGCACCTCCCAGTTGTACGGCCTTGATCTGAAATGCCTGCAGCTGGAAGAAAACAGCAACAGAGTATGATAGGAGCGGATTTGCGCTAGCGAATGAGGAATGCCAAATTGTTGACATCAAATTTATTTGCGTTCTCTTTCTCATCTCACGCACAAGCAAGTGAGGCGCACATGCGGCTTGAGATGAGATGGGTGGATTATTTGCGCGGTACGATAAGTGGATCTCGCATGCGGATTATTTGCGCGGCTCGGGCCGGCTGGCTTATTGGAGGCAGATTCCAAACGACGTGTCATCCGACGATTGTCCGCATCTCACGCCTGTGCACAAATAATTCAATGCTATAATTCAAGCGCAATTGCTGCAATATTACGGTTTTTGCAGTATAAGGCACTGTATATCACTTCTACTGTAAAAACTTGTCTTACACACTTGAAGAAATAGGATAGTAGCATAGATACGTACAGAGCCTGTGCTAGGATTTAGGGCACCCTGAGCCCTCAGGGTACCTTTTGAAAATTTTCCGAAATGCCCTGATTTTCCAGGGCCAAATTCCCTGACCATCCTGAAATGTCAGGGCACCAGCATAAATTCATCTGGAAGATTCAGGGCAAAGAATACAAGGCACTGGAGAGGATGGAAGGGAAGGTACGAAAGGAGCAGGTTGCTCACTGGTTTCACTGCTGGCTGAGCAAAAACATTGGTGGGGGAGGGGTGGGGACAGAACTAGCACACACACCCCCCAGCCTCCTTCCTCCCCTCTCTCCCTCTCCCCCTTCCACCCCTTCTCCCCTTCCCACGAGTCAGGGCATCCCTCTACATTCACCCTAACGCTTCAGGGCAAAATTTCACTGCCATTCTGAAATTTCAGGGCAAAACACATGGATCATCCTGACGTCGCAGGGTAAATTTCAGCGTCATTCTGAAATTCCAGGGCAAACTCAAAACGCCATCCTGAAATCAGGGTAATCAGGATGTTTTGCCCTGATATCGTGGGCCCAGGATACGTAGTTCAGTAACATATAATCGAATTTTGAGGCATAAAGAAACAAAACAGAGAAAAAAAATCTTCATGAGTAAATGCTGTAATTATGGGTTATATGCAAATCCCATGTATATACACAGGAGTACCTATCTAGCGTCAAATGGACCGCCTCTGCACTAACATTTCTCGCTAGACTGATACTGCTAATATGGGGTATCTTGCACCCAGATTTGCCACCCCGTTGGGACTGCTGTTACGATGCTCAGGGGCTTCGCTATTAGCAAACTCATTATGCCGTAATGTCGCGCTCGGAAGTGCGTCCCTGACGCGACATCTCCATTTCCTGGCAAACACTCTCCTGTCATTCCTTCCTTCCCGCGCCTCGCTTTTCTCTTCCCGACCTAAGCCATCGCTCTTGTCGCGTCACTCCGTCCCGCGTCCTTTCCGTTCCCGTTCCTCCTCCCCTTCCCCTGCTCTCATTGCTCTCCTTCTCCCTGTCTCCTCCTTCCCCACTTCCCCTTTTGCCTTCGTAATCTCCATCTCCCACGCGTGAGCTGAGGTGATTTTTGAGGCGCCGCAAAAAAACCCCTTCCCCTCTTTTCCTCCGTAATCTCCGCTCTCCCACGCGTGAGGGTGGCGAGATGGCGCTTGCCGGATTCGCCTTTGAGGTCTTCGGCAAGGTAACGGGAATGCGGATGGTATCACCAGGTTCCTCGTTTTTGTTTGAATCCGTTACTGTGTAGAACGACGCGTGTTCCTGTTTTGAGGCGCTTCAAAGATTCCAGACTCCAACTTTCGTCTGGACCCGTTTCTGTGTTGAACGATGAGTGTGCCTGTCACGCCTTGGCCAACACTCACATTCGTGCACATTCATAGTTCCTCCATTTTATCGCTTTCTGTCAGGTGCAAGGCGTGTCGTTCCGGTATTGCACGAGCCACAAGGCGACCGTACTGGGGCTAACACTAAGAGCTAACTCTGTTTAATTCTCAATGTGTTCCTGTCAGGTGCAAGGAGTGTCGTTTCGGTATTACACGAGCCATAAGGCGACCGCACTGGGGCTGGTGGGGTGGTGCCGAAACACAGACATGGGGACAGTGGAGGGGGAGATTCAAGGGCGCAAGGAGAGCGTGCAGGAGATGTGAGTATAACGAGGTGGTGCGTGCAGGGGGGAAGAGAGAGCGTGCAGGAGATGTGAGCAAAACGAAGTGGTGCAAGGGGCATAAGTAGGAGATGTGAGCAATACAAGTTGCTGGACGTGTCAGCATAACAGAGTGGTAGGCATGAAGGGTGAAGCAGCAGATGTGGAATTGTGAAGAGACGGGTCATGCAGCACAGTGCGTACCTCTTGTATTGCTTCAAATGACTTTGATTGAAGCTTCATGTCTACACTTGTTTCTCCTTCCTCTCCTCCCATCCACCATCCTCCCTTTCTCCCCCTCCCCCAACCCCCTTCCCCTCTCGGTTTCTTGTCCAATCATTGCTGCATTGGGCTGCAGGAAAGTATGGCTGTGCACCACTGGCTCTCCTTCCTCCCGTATTGAGCGATGCGCTTTTAAGAATGAGGTGGACGATCTTCAAGAGTTGTCTTTCAAGTCGTTCCGCGTACGCCAGTAAGGCTATTGGCAATCCTTAAATACTGAGTAAGATACGGTACAGTAGCAGAGAAGTTATGGTGAGGGTTTTGAAGTACAGTAGTGTGCTGGAGAGGAGGGATGTTAAGAGGGGCTTTGTACAGTAGTATGTATCGAGTGTTTAACGACCATTAGTAAGCAAGCCCTTGGTGAGAATGAGGAATGCACCTGTACACCAAAAGTCTCCTCGTGCCATAAATGATCTATTGTAATTGTAAAAAGGACAGCTATGGTTACCACAGGAACCGTTGCAAGCCCTCATGCCCCTCCCACTTAAATGGGCGGAATACAAAGAGTCCCATAGTGGCAATGTCTACAGCAGCAAATGCACTGACAACCAGAGTACACGCGAGCCTCTTTTCCAGGCGGTTACGAGGCAGGGGGAGGTGCAGTAGCAAGAGCAGGAAGGGAGGGATGAAATAGCGGAATTCTAGGAGAGGGGATGGGACGAGCACTGCTGCTGTGGCAGCTGAGAAGAAAAAGAGGCCTAGAAGGGTCATAGCACGGCCTGGGAGGGGGTTGGAGGGAAGTGGCATGGGGAAGAGGAGCATCGAGAGCAGGAAGGGAGGGATGAAGAAATGGGAGGAGAGGAGAGTCGAACATGGGAGAAGTGCTCATGTGGCAGGTGTGACTTTTGAGTCGACTCAAAAGTCAGGAGAAGAGTTGAACATGGGAGAAGTGCTCATGTGGCAGATGTGACACTACTCTGAAGCACCTCTAATGCATGGGCGAGGGCGAGCAGAGAGTTGGCGTAGAATGGCAGGAGAGGGGCGAAGGTGCTGCGACTCATTACGTACGTAATGCATGGGTGAGGGCGAGGAGGGAGAGGGAGTAGAGCGTAGAGAGAGCATAGAGCGTAGAGAGAGAGCATAGAGCGTAGAGAGAGAGCGTAGAGCGCAGAGGCGCCTCAAAAGGGAACGTGCAGTGCAGGTGCTGTGACTCATTACGTACGTAATGCATGGGTGAGGGCGAGGAGGGAGAGGGAGTAGAGTGGCAGCAGGAGGAAGCGCTGTGACGGGCTGTGGGGTGGGTTGATGAGCCTTCGCCAGATGTAGAAGGGATAATGGCGGTTGTCTGCTAGTAGATAGGGGTGGGCGAGGCTGGGACGATGAGAACATATGGAGGGGAAAGAGGGGGGAAACAGAGGCAAGGGAGCAGCATGGGAACATGAGAAGGATTGATGAGTCGACGCCAGATGTAGAAGGGGTAGTGGCGGTTGTCCGCTAGCAGATAGGGGTGGGCGAGGCTGGGAGGGGGAGGGGGAGGGGGAGGGGGAGGGGGAGGGGGAGGGGGAGGGGGAGGGGGAGGGGGAGGGGGAGGGGGAGGGGGAGGGGGAGGGGGAGGGGGAGGGGGAGGGGGAGGGGGAGGGGGAGGGGGAGGGGGAGGGGGAGGGGGAGGGGGAGGGGGAGGGGGAGGGGGAGGGGGAGGGGGAGGGGGAGGGGGAGGGGGAGGGGGAGGGGGAGGAATGGGGAGAGGCGGTCAAAGGCAGGAGAGAGAGAACAGCAGAGAGAAGGGGTTGATGACTTGAAGCCAGGTGTAAAAGGGGTAGTGACGGTTGACTGCTAGCAAATAGGGGAGGGCGAGGCTGGGAGAGGGAGTGGGGGGAACAGCAGAAAGAGGAGGGCTGGATGTTTTGGCTCAAGAGGGGAAACAGGATGGAGGTGAGGAGGGTGAGGATGGAGAAATGGATAGGGCGACAATAATACCTGAAGTGTTTGATGGTGGGAAAGATCAGGGCGGAGGCGAGGAGAGAGAGGACGAGGGTGGAAAACAGAGAGGGGCGAAGAGGGTCAGAAAGGGGGAGACGGGATGGAGAGGAGCGAAAGAGGGAGGGAAATTATACCTGAAGTGTTTTATGGTGAGAAATATCAGGGCGGAGGCGAGGAGAGACAGGACGAGGCAGCGAAGGGGGGATGACCGAAGAGAGCGAGAGGTGGTGGAGAGGAGGGGGAGGGGGTGGGGAAGAGGGGGTGGGGCGGAGGAAAGGATGGGGCGATGATAATACCTGAAGTGCTTGATGGTGAGAAAGATCAGGGCAGAGCCGACGAGAGCGAGGAGGAGGCAGCGAAGGGGGGAGGATCGGAGAGAGCGAGAGGTGGCGGAGAGGAGGGGGAGGAGCGAGGAGGGGGCGAGGAGGAGGGGCGAGAGGGAGAGGGCGGAGAAGGCTGCGAAGTAGAGTGGTTGCATGAGGTGGGGGGAGAGGCGGTGCTCCGTTCGCGCTCCTGGTGTGGGGCAGGGTGGGGTGTGGTGCAGTGGAGTGGGGTGGTATGGAGGGAGGTGCGACGGAGTGTAAGTGGGAAGAGAACATGTTGTTATGGGAGGGCGGAGAAGGCTGCGAAGTAGAGTGGTTGCATGAGATGGGGGGAGAGGCGGTGCTCCGTTCGCGCTCCTGGGTGGGGTGGAGTATGGTGGGGTGAGGTGGGGTGGGGTGGGGAGGGGGGGGTGGGGTGGGGTGCAGCGGGATGGGATGTGAGATGGAGGGAGATGTTGCTTTGCAGTGAAGAAGGCTGCAAAGTAGAGTGGTTGCATGAGATGGAGAGAGAGGTGGTGCTCTGTGCGCGCTCCTGGTGTGACGTGGGGTGGGGAGGGGTGGGATGGGGTGGGGTGCGGTGGGGTGGGGTGCATGTGGGAGGGAATGTAGGAACGTGATATTATGGAGTAAAGAAGGTTGTGAAGCAAAGTGGCTGCATGGGATGAGGGGAGAGGGACGGAAGTAAGCTTTTATGCGGCTCTGGAGCCGCGAAAGGCTGCAGGGCAGAGCAACTGCAGGGCAGAGCAGCTGCAGGGCAGAGCAGCTGCAGGGCAGAGCAGCTGCATGAAATGGCCGAATGGCTGAATGGCCGAATGGCTGAATGGCAGAGTTTTCACGACAGAAACAATATGTGTTCTTAGTCGACTCAAAACGCACTCGCAGCGAAAAAACACCCAGATACCCCGAATGCTGCAGCAAACAGTGTCTCATCATCACTCACCGACGACTATCCTAGCTTTTGAGGCGCCTCAAAAGTGTTCTTTTGTCACCCACTCACCGACAACTATCCCCCCGTTAACACGCACGAAGACAAAGAACGCTGCAAGCACTGCCAGCAGCGGATGTGCGTTGTTGAGTCGACTCAAAACACACTCACAGCAACAACTTTCGTCACCCAGTCACCAACAACTATCCCCCGTTGACACGGGTTGACCTTTCAAAAGGCAACGATCTCCTCACCACTCACCACTCACCACTCACCACTCACCACTCACCACTCACCACCACCACTCACCAACAACTATTCCCCCGTTGACTCGCACAAAGACAAAGAACGCCGCAAGCACCGCCAGCAGCGGGAAGAAGTTTCTGAGAAACTTCCCCCGCACGGCCCACGCGCGGTGCAGCAGCAGCAGCAGCGCCCTAGGCACATCCTCCCCTCTCGCAGCCGCCTCTGTAACCCAGGAAGGATCCTGGAAGCTTCCCTCTGTCGAATCGGTGACCACGCCATCGCGTAAGGTGCCTTTTTCATCGGCTCTGCATCTGCTCTCCCCATCCCTTTCCGCTTCGTCTTTTCCCGGCCCGTCTTTCTCTGCCTCGTCTTTAGGAGTCCCCTTGGGAGTGATCAAAGGAGTCGTCAGCTTTGAAGTCCCCAGGGGTTGGAGTTGCGGGGTGAGAAGAACGGGCACCCCCAGGAAGTGCGAGGTGGAGAGGCAGAGAGCGAGCAGAGCCCACACGGCGTTGGTCTGACGGATGATGATGCTGCCTGCTGCTAACTGCGCCGGGAAGAAGGGAGGGTGGATGGGGAGGGGAGAGAAGAGACTTGTGGAACAGCACAGGAAGTGGTAGGCAGAGAGCAAGGAGCAAGAGAGAAAGCAAGCGAGCAGAGCCCACACGGCGTTGGTTTGACGGACGATGATGCTGCCTGCTGCTAGCTGCGCCAGGGGGGAGGGAGGGGATGGGGACGGGGGAGGAGGAAGGGGGAGGCCTGTGAGACAGCTAAAAAAACTGAGAGGCAGAGAGTGAACAGAGCCCACACGGCGTTGGAAGGGGGAGAAGGCGGGGAGGAGGGGAGGTAGGGGAAGCGCTAGCTGCGCATGGGAAGGGGGAGAAGGCGGGGAAGGGGGAAGGGGGAGAAGGCGGGGAGGAGGGGATGTAGGGGAAATGGGAGGGGTTGGGGGGGACAGAGTGAGGAGTGTTCACACAGCATTGGTTTGTCGGATGACGATGCTGCCTGCTGCTAGCTGCGCAGGGGGGGGAGAGGTGGGAGGAGAGGGTGAGAGGAGAGGAAGAGGACGGGCCAAAATGGGAGAAGCGGAGAACAGTGCAGCAGAAAAAAGGGAGGGGAAGCAGGAAGGGACTTAGAAGGATAAAGGGGGGAGATGGGAAGGGGGAGGGATGTGGGATAGATTTGAGCAGAAGCACTCACCCATAGACAGTTGAGAAGCGTAAGAGAAGAGCAGAGCTCTCACCAGTGCAGCACGGTAGTGTTGCCTCTTGTACACACATCGCATCATCGCCAGCACAGCTACAGACGAAGCCACATCCGTGTAGGTATAGGAACCCAAAGAGCCAGTGCAGGGGGAACAGGGAAGAAGAAGCGAGCTCTCTCTCACCACTGCGGCACGGTAGTGTTGTCACTTGTAGACACATCAGTGTAGTATAGGAATCCAAAGAAGAAGTGCAGGGGGACATGCGTGCGTGTGAGAAGAACGCTCACCAGCGCAGCCCGGTAGTGTTGTCTCATGTAAACGCATCGCATCATGGCCAGCACAGCTACAGACGACGCCACATCCGTGTAGTATAGGAGAGAGGATTGGAACAGGGAAAAGCAGAGCAGAGAAGAGGCGAGCTCTCTCTCTCACCAGCGCAGCCCGGTAGTGTTGTCTCATGTAAACGCATCGCATCATGGCCAGCACAGCTACAGACGACGCCACATCCGTGTAGTATAGGAGAGAGGATTGGAACAGGGAAAAGCAGAGCAGAGAAGAGGCGAGCTCTCTCTCTCACCAGTGCAGCACGGTAGTGTTGTTTCTTGTACACACATCGCATCATGGCCAGCACTGCTACAGATGACGCCACATCCGTGTAGTATAGGAATCCAAAGAACCAGTGCAGGGGGAACAGGACAAACATCGCCCCCCTCCACGTGCAGTCCTCGTCGACCTGGTCCCAAGGCGCGTGGTTGGCGCAGCGGCTTTTGGTGTCAGCTTGTGTGTCGTTTCCGGTTTCGCCTTGAGTTTCACCTCTGGTGTCGTCTTGCGTTTCGTCTTTGGTGTCAAGTAGGGTTTCGTATCTGTGCAGCAAGGCAGCGACACCTCGACGACGAGAATGGGGCTTGCCTGCCTGGGGGAAGGAATGGAGAGGAGGAGCAGAAGAAAGGAGAGAATGAATTTTGAGTTGACTCAAAAGTCACTCAGAAGTCGGGAGCGGGGCTTGCCTGCCTGGGGGAAAAGAATGGAGAGGAGGAGCAGAAGAAAGGAGAGAAGGTTCGGACATTTCTCAGTGAGCTGCGTGCGTGCAGTAGGCTTGAAGCAAAGGACCAACAGCAAGTAATGTGCCCCGGGCTTGCCTGCCTGGGGAAAAGGAACGGAGAGGAAGAAGGACGGGGAGGGAGAGTAAGCTCCTACTCAGAGCAATACCTTGTTTGAACGAGCTGCAGCTGCTATTGCACCAGCAGCACCAGAGGCACCAGTAATTGCAGCATCAGAAGCACCAGAAGCACCACCAACAGCAGAAGCAGCAGCAGCACGGGCAGTGGAGTAGAAGAGAGGAAGGAGAGGACGAGGAGGAGGAGGTCGAGGGATCGCAGCGTCACAGGGGAGCATAGGGATGCAAAAGACGCACCTGATATGACAGGGCGGCGTACTCACAACCGTACCTTGTTTGAACGAGCTGCAACTGATGTCTCAGCAGCACCAGCACCAGCAGCAGCACCAGCAGCAGCACCAGCAGCAGCGGCAGCACGGGCAGTGGAGTAGAAGAGAGGGAAGGAGAGGACGAGGAGGAGGAGGTTGAGGGATCGCAGCGTCACGGGGGAGCACAGGGATGCGAATGACACGCCTGCTGCTGACGTGTCATCTGACGTGGCATCTGACGTGGCGTCTGACGTGGATGCCACGTAGGCAGCGGCTTTGACAATACCCAGGAGTTGCAGGAGGGCGTATTGCACGCCCACGAATATAAGAGCTAGGTAGTAACTGGGAGATGGGGGGGAAGAGGGAGAGAGAAGGGAGCGGGTGGATGGAAGGTGGGAGAAAGATGGAAAAGGAGAGGGAGAAGTGCAGGAGGGCTTTTTGCGCGCCCACGAATGTAAGAGCTAGGTAGTAACTGGGGGAGGGGGCGGGAAAGGGGCAGGGAGGAGAGGGTGGAGGAAGGGAGAAAGGGCGAAAAGAGGGCGGGATGCAGGAGGGAGCATTGCATGCCCATGGATATAAGAGCTAATTAGTAACTGAGGCATGGGGTGGGTGTGGGGGGGGAGGGGGGGGAAGGGGAGAGGGTAGAGGAGCGGGTGGAATGGAGAGGTGGTGAGATGATGGTGAGGTGGGATAAAGAGCGGGCGTGTAACCAAGAAGAAAGGGATTGGAGGGGGGAAAAGAATAAAAGGGTGTGAAAGCGAAAAGGGTGAGAAGAGAGAGTGAAGTGAGGAGACGGAGGAACGAATAAGCGGGCAGTGCAGGGTTCAAGGGCACAGGGAAGGCAAAGAAAATTGGTTGCCCAAATATGCGTTGACTTGTGCTGACTTACAGGCCAGGCAGCGTGGTGATGAGCGGATGCCACGTCAGCAGGTCCCCTCGGCAGTACTGCTGAGTCTGAGGCACGTGGAAAATCTCGTCCTGATTTTCAGGAAAGAAAGAAGAGGAGACGGGGACATAAAACAACGCATAACATTCTGAATCTGTTCTTTTGAAAAAAAAATCACATAACAGTCTCGTCTCACACTGTGTCCTGAACGTGCTGGTCGCGTCGCGTATTAGCAAACGAGTCGAGTTTCATGTCGACTCAAAAGTAAACTCATATAAGCTGGCTGACTCATTAATGTCAACACGGTGCTCACGGTGCGACTCAAAAATAGACTCCTTGAGCTCTCCCAATTATGTGTCGCAAGTTGTACTGACCAGATATGGTCGAGGAGGCGTGCTATCAAACGAATCTACACAATTGATCGACAATTCTCGCGTTGTAAGATATTATTCTCGCACCATGTACGGTTGCGGAACATGGTGATTAACAAGGCACGCCACGACCGCGCCGCTCACGAGCAGCGCTTCCGTCACGCGCCGCCGCACCCATTTCAAGTCCACACGACTCGCTGCCATCATGCTGACGTGTCACAGCTGCTGCGACGGCGTCACGCTGAATAGCGCATGTCAGCGGCTCGCAGGAAACATCGTACCAATGGAAGAAAGTTAGGATCCGAGGAGAGAAGCTGCAGTAGCAGCAGCGGCGGCACCGAAAGGAAGAGCAGCAGAGTGGATCGCACTCGTCCCGCGGCCACAGATAGATTTGGAAGCAATTTCTCTCGCAGCAGCAGCTGTGCCAGGGGTACACACGGGAGTAGATAACGTACGGTTTGGTGCGTTTTGATAGGTTTTAATTACCATTCACGACGGTGGCCGAAGATCGTGAATTTGAGGTGGTTGGAGTTTTGTTGCGAAGTGCACACGTAAGGGACAACTCGATTGCGTGTGGACATCCTGAAGCTGAAAAACAAGGTACAAATTCTGTGAACAAAAATTTCATAACATACTTCTTTTGTCTCCCAAAAGACAAATACTAGCGCAAAAGGTAGGGTGGGGCGTTGAGCACCTTTTTGCAACCGCTCGCACGAGTTTATGGTTCCCAGCTTTACGCTTGAATTGAAGAATTTGTTTAGATGGTGCCATCATCAACGTATCGTTTTGCAAAAACGGCATGCTACACGTGTTTGGCTTCAGCTGCTGCTACAGTGGCCGGTGCTGCGTATGATGCGACGCCAGCGGCAGAGACAAGTATTTGTACGGGCATATATGAAGATGTTTCAACTGCTGCTATGGCAGCAAGCGGTGTAATAATTGTGGTGCAGAGGCAGGCAAGAGGGAGGAACTGTGGTGCTACTGTTGCTGATTTGCTATACCTGACACAACAGCTGCTGCTACTACTGCTGGCGCAAGAAGTCGAACGCAGGGGCGGGAGGGAGGAACTGTGGCGGAAGCAGCACCTGCCTGTAAGCTGCAGCTGCTGCTGTTACTGATACAGCTACAATCCCTACAGCTGCAGCTGCTGTAATAAATGATACAACTGCATCTACCGCTGCTGCTGTTGGCGCAAGAAGTCGAACGCAGGGGCGGGACGGAGGAACTGCGGCGGAAGCAGCACCTGCCTGCAAGCTGCAGCTGCTGCTGTTACTGCTACATCTACAATCCCTACAGCTGCAGCTGCTGTTGTTACTGCTACGGCACAACCCCTACTACTGCTGCTGCTGTTGGCGCAGGAAATCGAACGCAGGAGCCGGAGGGAGGAACTGGGGAGGTGGCACGACGAATGGGTCAATTGGCGGCACTGCTGCTATCACGGCCGTGGGGGTGAATGGCAGGCTGGGGGAGTATTGCAGAGGGGTGAAGAGGGGATAAGAATGAGTCAAAAGTGGTGACGAGGGGTGTTTTAGTCATATGCCATGGCGAACGGGTTGATTTGCGGCATTGCTGCTATCACAGCGGTGCGGGTGAATGGCAGGCTGGGAGAGGGGACAGGAAGGGGGAGGGGACAGGAAGGGAGAGTGGAAATTACAGGGGTATGGAGGGGTGAAGTGAAAGGGTGTGCAAGAGACAAAGGCCACGAGGATTGGGTTGATGGGAGGCACTGCTGTTATCACAGCCGTTGGGGTGAATGGCAGGCTGGGGGTGGGTTGCAAGGGGTGAAGAGGGGAGAAGAATGGGTCAAAAGTGGTGAAGAGGGGTGCAACATAGGGCACAGGGAAGGTGTTGATTAGCGGCACTGCTGCTACAGCGGCCGTTGCAAACTCGGGTGTGGAGGGGGGTGTGGAGGGGTGAAGAGGGGTATAGATGGGGCACCAATAGCAGGATGGTCACCTGCTTTACCTTCCTCCCACCCCCTAGATAGCGAGATGGGATCTAGAAAACCCTCTCGCTCTCTCCCCCTAGCCTAGAGCCCTCTGCCAGTGGCATATGATGCACCCCATGCTCACCCTTCAATCGCCTCGAGCAGTTCGGATTCGTAGTTCTCCCCTGCTCCCCTCAGCTGCTGCAGCACTGCTAGTGAGCTGCTAGGACTTCCTTGCCATACCATCCCATGCACCCCACACACACTCACTCACCCTTCGAATGCTTCGAGCAATTCGGACTCATAATCCTCCCTGGCTCCCCTCAGCTGCTGCAGCACGGCCCTGTCATAACCTCTTGAGCCATACACCTCGTCCTCAAACCACGAGCACAGGATGGTGAGGTGCTCTGCATGCATCATACCATGCCACACGCCCCAAACTTACCCTTCAAAGGCTTCGAGCAGTTCAGACTCGTAGTCTTCCCCAGCTCCCCGCAGCTGCTGCAGCACTGCCCTGTCATAACCTCTCAAGCCATACACCTCGTCCTCAAACCACGAGCACAGGATGGTGAGCTGGGAGCATTGCCATAGTCATACAGTTATCTCACAGTCATACCATTCCACTCGCCCCAAACTCACCCTTCAAACGCTTCGAGCAGTTCAGACTCGTAGTCCTCCCCTGCTCCCCTCAGCTGCTGCAGCACTGCCCTGAAGAACCCTCTCGAGCCGTACACCTCGTCCTCAAACCACGAGCACAGGATGGTCAGCTGCTCTGTCAGCAGCGTCATACCAATAGCATACGCTCAACATTCACCTTTGGGAGGCTGTTATCCTCTCTATAAGCTTACCCTTCAAACGCTTCGAGCAATTCGGATTCATAGTCTTCCCCTGCTCCTCTCAGCTGCTGCAGCACAGCCCTGTCGAACCCTCTCGAGCCGTACACCTCGTCCTCAAACCACGAGCACAGGATGGTCAGCTGAGTGAAGTTGAGGGATGGGCACATTGCAACCACCTCCTCCATTGTCTTCCGTGCTTTTTGTTTTGCCGTCTATCAGGAGGGAGGGGATTGAGGAAGAGGGAGAGTGGAAGTGGGAAGAGAGTTGGGAGGGAGGGGACCACGAGCACAGGATGGTGAGATGCGTGAAGTTGAGTGACGGGCACATCGACACCACCTCCTCCTCCATGGTCTTCCGTGCTTTCTGCTTGGCGGTCTGTGTGTGCGGGGGAGGGGTGGAGGGGGAGAAGGATATGAGAGAGTTGGATAAAGGAACCACGAGCACAGGATGGTGAGATGCGTGAAGTTGAGCGAAGGGCACATCGCCACCACCTCCTCCATGCTCTTCCGCGCCTTTGGTTTTGCTGTCTGCAGAGATCAAGAGAGAAGGGATAGGGAAGAAGAGGGAGGGAAAGGGAAAGGGAGAGGGAGAGGGAGAGGGAGAAGAGACCCTACCACTCATCAGCAGCACCACAAGTGCTCCACCACTCACCAGCAGCAGCACTGCCTGATATGTGTGCTGCAGAGCATCTATCACCTGCGCCCGTGACCCTCCTCCCACGCTTCCCATGCCTTCCACTCCTTTAGTTCTCGATCCAATGGGTGTGAGCCGAGAGCCTAGCAACTCACCAGCAGCAGCACTGCCTGGTACGTGTGCTGCAGAGCATCAATCAGCTGTGCCCGCGCCCCCCCTCCCACGCTGCCAGCAGCCGTGCCTGCTCCAATGCTCCCCACGCTCCTGCTCATGCCCATGCCCGCTGCTGCCCCATCCAGAGCCCCCACTACTCACCAGCAATACCACTGCCTGGTATGTGTGTTGAAGAGCGTCAATCAGCTGCACCCGTGACCCTCCTCCCACGCTTCCTGCAGCAGTGCCTGCTCCAATGCTCCCCACGCTCCTGCTCATGCCCATGCCCGCTGCTTCCCCATCCAGCCACGGGTGCACGTGCTCTGACAGCCATGCTTCTAGCGCCTGCAGCCCTTGCTCCATGGCCTCCCCGTTGGCGAGCGTGATGGGAGACCAGTGGCTTCGTAGCATGAGGCTGTTGGGAGGGGTGTTGTGGGGTGAAGAGGGGTGGAAGGGGAGGAAGTGAGGCACGGGTGCACGTTGATGCACGGCTGCACGTGATGTGCTCGCTGCTTCTCCATCCAGCCACGGGTGCACGTGCTCTGACAGCCATGCTTCGAGTGCTTGCAGGCCTTGCTCCATGGCCTCGCCATTTGCAAGAGTGATGGGACACCAGTGGCTTCGCAGCATGAGGCTGGGGTGAGGGGGCAGGCATGAGGGAAGGAGAGGAGGAGGTGAGGAATGGAGGCAGGCAGTGGGGCACGGGTGCATGTGGTGTGTGAGGAGGGCAGGCAGTGGGGCACGGGTGCATGTGGTGTGTGAGGAGGAAAGGCAGTGGGGCACGGGTGCATGTGGTGTGTGAGGAGGAAAGGCAGTGAGAGAAGCAGTCTAGCCACGGGTGCACGTGGTGTGGTGTGCCCGCTGCTTCCCCATCCAGCCACGGGTGCACGTGCTCTGACATGACAGCCATGCTTCCAGTGCTTGCAGCCCTTGCTCCATTGCTTCCCCGTTTGCGAGCGTGATGGGACACCAGTGGCTCCGCAGCATGAGGCTGTGTTGGAAAGGGGAGAGGAGGGAAGGAAGGGAAGCAGTGAGTGGGACATGGGTGGACATGATCTGTGAGGCGTCCATCAAACGTAAGCATTAGTAACGCATATATATTCTTTGTACCTAACATAAATTGAAGTAACGCATTTGCACTTAATACCAAACAAAAACCTAATTTTCGCACTTATACAAGGTGAGGAAGAGCAGAAGCCTGCTCATTCATTGAACAACTTGTTGAGACATCTCGAAATATTTCTCATTGAATGTCTTATAAATCCAATGACTCACCTATTGAGAGGCGCAGACCGAGTAAGTGCAGCAGCTGCCACATGCCACACTAGGTGGCAGAACAGGTGAGCACCCCATGGGTGCTTGCGATGTACAACCCAGACCTTTGGCCTTTAGGAAAAAGTTTGTTGACGGGAGTTGGCCTCGCTCTCGCTTGGGCGAAGCCAACTTCGTGGTCGGGTGCGCGGGAGGTGCACCAAACTACTCTCTGATGGCTTAGGGCGTATTCCATCCTGATGGCAGGGCAACTGTTCATCGCACTGTTGGTAGCATGCCCATTTTCCGGTCCACTGAGTTTTTGGGAACCGCTGCCACCAACTCGACGTGAACAGTTGCCCTGCCACCAGAATGGATTACGCCCTTAGGCGCAAAATCGACGGGTTTGGTCGGATTCCGCGGGACCACTGCAAAGTTACCGACGAGGGGAAGTCGGCGGCCTACTTCGACTGATGTGGTCGACGAAGGGGTTCGTCGACCTGCGGGGACCTCGACTAGGTGACGTTGGCGGGTGGTGTCGAACAGGGCGGTCGACGAGCACGTACATTAGTTGGCGATCTCCTACCGCCAAAGTCTACGCCTACTTGGCGGTTTCCTAGTTGACTGAGAAATCAGGGCGACAAAGTCCTGCGGAAGAGCGCAGAGGTCGCCCAGGTGGTTTTGGCAAATCGAGCTCGGGCTGGCATTCCAAGGTCGACATGGCACATCAGGCGCAACTGTTGGAACGTGGTCGATCCGGCAACTGCGCAACGTTTGTGGCAGTGTGCATGCACTTACACCTGCGGTTGAAATGCTGGCAGGCCGCTCAGCTGCAGCGTTGGCAAGTCGCCTTAGTGCAGTGCCGGCAGGTGGTTGATTTGCTACGTTGGCAAGCTGCTTGACCACTAGGTTGCTTTACTTCTGATGTAGTCGTTGTTGCCTACCATTCTTGCATCATTGTTCTCCAACATTGTTAGTGAAACTCTTGCCGTTTTTCCCTGTGAATGCACAAGTGCTAGAGAACATAAGGAACGCTACGATCATTCGTACCACCCGTGCTTTCCCCCCGTAGTCTAGCTCCCACCGGTGCAGAGTAACTCCTCCACAAAGCTCACCCGTTGAAGAGGCGAACGTCGAGGTGCCAGAGCACATGGCGGGCCAGCACAGTTGGCACGGGGAGGGATGGTAGCACACGCTTACCTGATGAACCCTACGGGCGACGAAACGACGACTTACCCATTGAACAGCCGGACGTCGAGGAAGTGGAGCACCTGCCAGAGCACGTGGCGGGCCAGCACTGTCGGCACGCGTGGAGGGACGGGAGCAACATGTTAACCTGATCAACCCCAAGGGCCACCAAACCACTCACCCGTTGAACAGCCGCACGTCGAGGAAATGCAGCACCTGCCAGAGCACATGGCGGGCCAACAAGGCAAGGAGGAGCAGCAGTATGCTCACTCACACTTTGAACACACGTGCTGAGAGTCCAACCACTCACCCGTTGAACAGCCGCACGTCGAGGAAGTGCAGCACCTGCCAGAGCACATGGCGAGCCAGCACTGACGGCACGTGGTTGGCTTGCATGCAGCCCACGGCACTCCGCAACGAGACCAGCGCCGCCGCCCAGAACTCACGCATGTGCTGCGCGCTTGCAGTGGGGCTCTGATGGGGAGAGAGTGGATGGTGATGGAATGGATGGATGGGGGGGATGGAGAACGGGGGGTGTTGCTTGCTGCTGCTGCTGCTCATTCTGCCTTGATGCTATTTGTACCAGAGAGACAGACAGACAGCACGTGCATCGGGTGCCCTTCTTACCTGCGCTAGAAGAGACACGAGGTTTTGCAAGTCAAGGTTAACGGAAGCTCGCAGTTCCAGAAATGCATTATCCAGCAGCACTGCGAGCTCCTGCTTGAACACCAAGAGGAGATACCACCTGTACCAGTCATTACCTGTGCTAAGAGAGACACGAGCGTCTGCAGTTCAAGGTTGACTGACGCCCGCAGTTCGAGGAATGCATCATCCAGCAGCACTGCGAGCTCCTGCTTGAACACGAGGAGAAGTGCCAGTAAGCACTGCACAACAAACGTCGAGGTATCCTTACCTGTGCTAGAAGAGAGACCAGTGTCTGTAGTTCTAGGTTGACAGATGCTCGGAGCTCCAGAAAGGCATCATCCAGCAGCACTGCGAGCTCCTGCTTGAGAGAAGATGCCAGTAAGGACGGCACAAACGTTGGGTATCCTCACCTGCGCTAGAAGGGACACAAGTGTCTGCAGTTCGAGGTTGACTGAGGCTCGCAGCTCCAGAAAGGCATCGTCCAGCAGCACTGCGAGCTCCTGCTTGAACACGAGAAATTCTACCGAGCCCAGAGCTGGCTGCTGCTGCTGTTGATGCTGCTGATGCTGACGAGTTGCATCGCTGAATGAAGGGGCCTGGGAGGGGAAAGGAGGGGGAAACAGGACAGGTGGGGAAGGGAAAAAGGGGATTAGAGCTCCTTACCTGCGTAGGAGCGAGACAAGGGTCTGCAGTTCAAGGTTGACTGACAGACGGAGCTCCAGAAAGGCAGTTTTGCAAGCTCCTGCTTGAACATGAGGAACTCCACTGAGCCCAGCGCCGGCTGCTGCTGCAGCTGCTGCTGACGAGTTGCTTCGCTGAATGATGGGGCCTGAGAGGGAGGGGGAGTGGGGAGGGGAAAACAGGAGAGGTGTGGGAAAGGAACAAGGGGATTAGAGCTTTTGCTTGAACACGAGGAACTTCACTGAGCCTGGCTGCTGCTGCTGTTGACGCTGCTGGTGCTGACGAGTTGCATCGCTGAATGAAGGGGCCTGGGAGGGGTAAGGAGGGGGAAACAGGACAGATGGGCAAGGGAACAAGGGGATTAGAGTTCCCGCTTGAACACGAGGAACTCCATCAAGCTCAGCGCTGGCTGCTGCTGCTAGTAATGCTGCTGATGCTGACGGGTCGCATCGCTGAACGAAGGGGCCTGGGGAAGGGAAGGGGGACCAAAGAGGTTAGAGCTTTCGCTTGACCACGAGGAACTCCATCAAGCTCAGCGCTGGCTGCTGCTGCTGCTGCTGCATTGAGATGAGTTTCGAGGCGCCTCAAAACTCATCTCAATGCAAGGGGGAAACAGGACAGGTGTTTGAAAGGAACAGAGCTCCTGCTAGAACACGAGGAACTCCACTGAGCCCAGCGCTGGCTGCTGCTGTTTTTTGAGAATTCTCAAAAAACAGGACAGGTGGGGAAGGGAGCAAAGAAATTAGAGCTTTTCCTTGACCACGAGGAACTCCACTGAGCCCAGCGCTGCTGCTGCTGCTAGTGATGCTGCTGATGCGTTGATGCATCGATGAATGAAACGTAACCATAACGCACCTGAGAAAACACCTGAGAGACTCACATGGAACATGTTGGTGAACCAGTTGGACCCAGCAGCAGCTGGCTTGGGCTTTTCAGCAAAAGCAGCAGCTGCAGCAGCAGCAGCAGGTTTATACACCACCTCAACCAGCACCATGAGACACGCCACGTTTGACAGCCAGTAGCACTGCTCGTTGACTCTCACCGCCGGCACCCCACCCGGCCCCACCCCTCCTCCGGAAATAGAAAGGGTTTCCTCTTCGGGAAGGATGGCGGCTTGCAGGCGGCGGATGGTGGAGGAGAGGAGGGCGGGGGCGGAGGGGGAGGAGGCGGGGGGGAAGGCACCGAAGTGGAGGAGGGAGCGGTAGATGGCTGGGGCGGCCAGCGGGAGGCCTTGGGGGGAGAGGCCGATGATGTGTGTGGTGAGGAAGACGAGAACGGATTCCTGGAGGAATTGGGGAGAGAGGGAAGGAAGGAGAGGGGTAGAGGACAGTTGAGTTTGAGATGTCTCAAAGAGAGCGGTAGATGGCTGGGGGGGGCAGAGGAAGGCCTTGGGGGGACAGGCCGAGGATGTGCGTGGTGAGGAAAACGAGAACGGATTCCTGGAGGACGGGGGGAGGGGGTGGAGTGGGAGGGAGAGAGGGAGAAGGGCGGAAGGAAGCATGTGGTTGAATCAGCAAAGCTGGGAGGCCTTGGGGGGAGAGACCGAGGATGTGCGTGGTGAGGAAAACGAGAACGGATTCCTGGAGGACGGGGGGAGAGAGAGGGAGGGAGAGGGGTAGAGGACAGCTGAGTTTGAGATGTCCCAAAGGGAGCGGTAGATGGCTGGGGCGGCCAAGGGTAGGCCGTGGGGGAAGGAGGCGGGGGGGAAGGAAGGGTAGGCCGTGGGGGGAGGAGGCGGGGGGGAAGGCGCCGAAGTGGAGGAGGGCGCGGTAGATGGCTGGGGCGGCCAGAGGGAGGCCTTGGGGGAGAGGCCGATGATGTGTGTGGTGAGGAAGACGAGAACGGATTCCTGGGGGTGGGAAGCAGGGAGGGGGTGAAGTGGGGGGAAGGAGGGAGGAGAGGGAGGGAGGGAAGAGGTAGGAGAGGAAGGAGGGAGGGAGGGGGAGGGAGGGAGGGGGCGGGGAGGGAGTGGGAAGGGAGGGGGGAAGGGGATGTGTTAACTGAGAGCAGGAGCAGGAGGGGAGAGCCAAACTGCCCATTCAGAGCAATGGCAGCATCGTCACATTGGATTCCTGCATACGAGAAACGTGGAAGTCTTGACACACCCCCCCACACACAAGAGAAACAGGCATGCCAGAGAGAGCAGCACGCAAGCGCTCACTCACCTGGGGGTTCTCCTGAATGCGAGCAATGGCAGCGTCTGTTTTTTGACTAACGTGGATGTCTTGACACACCCCCCGACACACAAGAGAAACAGGCATCTCAAAGAGCAGCATGCAAGCGCTCACTCACCTGGGGGTGACTTTTGAGTCGACTCAAAAGTCACCTCGTGGATGCCTTGAAACTTGACACACCCCCACACACACAAGAGAAACAGGCATGTCAGAGAGCAGCACGTAAGCGCTCACTCACCTGGAAGTTCTCCTGGATGCGAGCAATGGCAGCGTCGTCATACTGAATAGCAGCCAGCGATCTCGATGCACTCTCCATCATCTCCCCACTCGCCCCCACTCTCGCCTTTTGAGGCACCCCAAAACTCACCTGGGGGTTATCCTGGATGCGAGCAATGGCAGCGTCATCATACTCAATAGCAGCCAGTGATCTCGAAGCACTCTCCATCATCTCCCCACTCGTGTGCGAGAGAGAGCAACAGGCCGTAAGCTAGTCAGCAGCATGCACGCATGAGATAGAGAGCAGCAAGCAGGCACTCACCTGGGGGTTCTCCTGAATGCGAGCGACAGCAGCGTCGTCATACTGAATAGCAGCGAGCGATCTCGATGCACTCGCCATCATCTCCCCACTCGCCCCTATACTCGCCGCCCGAGCCACACTCCACACTGCAAGCGCTGACGCCGAGTCCCCTGCTCCTCCTGAATCCTTTGACCCAGCCTCTACTGTCTCTCCCTCTCTTGCTCCCAAACTTGTTGCTCCTGACTCTGTTGCTCCCGATTCCAACCCTGATTGTGCTCCTGCTGCTCCTGCTGCCCCTGCTGCTCCTGCTGCTCCTGCTGCTCCTCCTGCAGCTGCTGTTGCTGATTGTTGCTGGGGGTGAGTTGGCGAGGCAGGGGGCTGGGGGTAGTTTTGAACGGAGATGGGGGGAATGGGGCGGGGGGAAACACCGCCACTGGGGGCCGCCTTACCACCAGGAGCGGCTTTCACAGGGGCCAGATTGGCCGCTGCAAATCGGGCCAGAGCGGAATTGAACCCTGCTCCTCCTGCTGGCGTTGCTGCTGGCCCCCCTGCCGACTGCACAAAAGTATGTGCGGCAGGATGCGAACCAGTATGTGCTGTGGCACCAGCTGTGCTGGCAGGAAGCGCAGCAGCGGCAGATGCTGCTTGGGCGCGGTGTTGCGAGAGGGTTTCTGACAGCTGGCGCACGTCGTTGTCCTTGCTGAAAGGAGTGAGTGGGGCGGGGAGGGGGGACGGTAGGGAGGTAGTGGTGGTGAGACATTTGAAAGCTGAGTGGAGTGGTACTGCCACCCATCCTCTGACCAGACCAGAGCGCCATCAACACACCCACCTGCCCCCTCAACTCCTCTACCTCCTCGTTCCTGTCCCTCAAATTTCCCCACAAAGCCAATACCCCAACCAAACTGCCTCCCACCCTTCCACTAACCTCTTGAGTCGTTCCATCAGCACGCCCACCTGCCCCCTCAACTCCTCCACCTCCTCGCTCCTCTCCCGCACCTCCCCTTCCGCCCTCTCTGCCCTCTCCTCCGCCTCTCTCAGCCTCCTCTCTGTCTCCCCCAACGCCCCTCTCATCGCTACCACCTCCTCTCTAAGCTCCTCTAACTGTACCACACTGCGCGCCATAGCTGCAAACATGCCACTCCATGACGAGGATGAACCATGCCCACCTCCCATGCCCATCCCTCCCATAAACATCCCTCCTGCTCCTCTTACTGCTCCTCCTCCTGCACCGCCTCTTACTCCTGTTTCAGACGCCACTTCCAGAATCTTGGGCGCCAGAGCACGCACGCGAGACCAAGGACTGCTGCCTTTCCCCTCTGCTCCCACTCCTCCTGCTGCCCCTGCTCCTCCTGCTCCTCCCTCCGCTCCGTCCGCTCCCGAACCTCCCAAGCCCTCCTCTCGAGTTGTAGCCACCATGAAGATCCCCATGGCAGCAGACACTTCAGAGACCTCCCCGGCAGTGGAAACATTGCTTAACCGCGACGCATGCGCACCCCACCGCATCGACCTGCTACCTGCAATCCCCCTCCTGCTGCCACTGGCGCTCCCACTGCCACTCCCGCTCCTCCTGCTGTTGCTGCTGCCGATCCCCTCAGCGGCCCCCCACCCACCTTCCTTCATAGACATGCTTCCTGTCCCCGCTAATGCTTTCTGCAGGCTGTTGCTCCGCGTGGTGCCGCTGACCACTTGGGAGGTGCTGCGACTGCCTTGGGAAGCCTGCTGCCACGCAGCAGCAGGAGGAAGCAGAGAAGGAGGAGAGGCAGCAGCAGCGGGAGCGTCAGCAGGAGGAGCTGCCACGTCATCATCGGACAGGGTCGCGAGGACTTTCCACGAGCGCCGCACTCCGTCCATGGTTTTACCAGCACCAGCCAAGTCAGCATCTGCCACGTCACCACCAGCCACGTCAGCACCAGCCACGTCAGCAGCGGCTCCAGTGGCAACTGCAGCACCACCAGCACCACCATCACTCGAACCATCACCACCAGCACTTACACTCCCGGTCTGCTCCTCAGCAGCAAAATGCGATTCCGGGCTCGGCTGTAGCGGGCTGTGTGTCCTGTCGCCGCTACAGCCGGGATCACCACCACCACCGCCGCCACTGCCCACGCTAGGCCCTCGAGAAGGCGGTGGCTTAACCACTGAACCGCGCCCAACCGCTTGACTTCCCGACAGGGAGGAGGAAGGGGGAAAAGAAGACGGGAGCCTTGCGCTCGGGCTGGATCGGAGAGAGCGAGCGGCAGGCACTACTCCCCCTCCGCCTTTGCTTCGAGCAGCCGGGATTCTCAACTCAGGATGCTCTGTTGGTCCTCCCCCGCTGCTGCTCCTGCTGCTGCTATGCCCACCGCCAAGAGCCGCTGCTGCTGCAGACAAAACACTCCCGGTAGCCTCAGCTCCCGCTCCTGCTCCTCCTATTCCCCCGTCTTCCCCTCCGCCCCCTGCGCCCCACCCTCCTCCCTCAACCTTTGGACTGGACGGAGCAGTGGGGCCCCTGGATCGGAGGTAGTTGCTATAAGAGGAAACACTTCCAGTTCGGGAAAGGGCATGGGGGAAGCCCTGGTGGGCGACAGTCTGCTGCAGCACGCTGCGGGGGACGAGTCTCAGGAGCTCTTCGGCTTTCTCCACCCGGTGCTTCTCTTTGTTAAGAGCGGCTTTTAGCTGAGAGATCTCCTGGTTGAGGGCTGCCATTTCGTGGGTGAGGCGCTTGACTGACTCCTCTGCCTCATGCCGCTTCTTCTCCTCGCGTTGCTGTGCGGGGGAGGAGGGGGGAAAGGGAGAGCCCACGAGGTGAGTCGCTTGACTGACTCCTCTGCCTCATGCCGCCTCTTCTCCTCGCGTTGCTGGGAAGGGGAGACGGGAGGGGGTTGGAGAGGTACGGAGAGGCATGAGGGGAAGCATAAGGGCATGAGAGAGAGATCTCCTGGTTGAGTGTTGCCATCTCGTGGGTGAGTGAAACCTCGGAGGGTAGGAGGAGGAGAGGGTGAGAGATCTCCTGGTTGAGCGCTGCCATCTCGTGTGTGAGGCGCTTGACTGACTCCTCTGCCTCATGCCGCCTCTTCTCCTCGCGTTGCTGGGGAGAAAGGGTGGGGAGGAAGGGGGGAAGGAAAGGGAGAGGCCACGATCGGATTCGAGAGGGCAGTGCAGCGCAGCCCCCCTCAGGAGACGCACCTTGATACCCCCCAAGAACGCACCTTGATGCCCCCAGGAGACCCCCCAGGGAGAGGCCACGATTGGATCAGAGAGGGCAGTGCAGCGCAGCCCCCCTCAGGAGACGCACCTTGATGAAGCACAGCATAGTGAAGCGCAGCATAGTGAAGCGCAGCATAGTGAAGCGCAGCACTATGTGACGGAAGACGCAAGACGCGTCTTGCGTCTAGCGTCTAGACGCATCGTCTAGACGCTAGACGCTAGACGCGCGTTTAGACGCTAGACGCTTGGGGGAAAAATTTTCGGGCAGCCCGAAAAAAAAAATTCCGCGGGCGAAATTGAATTTCGCGATTTTGATGCGAAATTCAATTTCGCGTCATTTGCACCCCCCCCCACCCATTTCGACCTTAGATTCAAGCCCCCCAAGCAAAATTGAAATTTCCTCAACCAAAATTGAAAACACAAACCCCTCTCAACCGCAAAGCATCTAGGAAACCCAACCCTTAATGGCAAACCAGCAAGGGCTTGGGAAGCACAAATCCCCCATTTGTGCTTCCCATCTTTCATTTCTAGCCAATTCTCTTTCAAAAACCCTCTAGGGTTTAGAGCTACTTACCTCTTGAAGCCATGTCTTCTCCTAGTTCTTGAAGCCAGGAGGAGGAGGAGGAGGAGGAGTAGGAGGAGGAAGAGGAGAGGAGAGGTAGGAGGAGACCTAGTGATTGGACGGATGTAGCAGTAGCTATTTATATCATGTTTGCTACTACTAGGAAGACGTCAGTACCTAATTATGATTGATGGTAAATGATGATTTTTGTGAACTCTAATTAAGGGGAAAAAGTTTTGGTATGGCGGAAATTTGACCCAAATGTGCTATATATGCATGTACCCCACCCTCCCCATGGTCCTGAGAAGTTTTTTTAGGCTGCCCGAACTTTTTTTTAGGGCCTGCCCGGGTTTCCGTCTAATCTGCGTCTAACCTAGGCGAAAATGCGTCTAGCGTCTTAGACGCTGCGTCTAGACGCAACCGTCTAAGACGCTAGACGCGTCTTCCGTCACATAGGCGCAGCATAGTGAAGCGCAGCATAGTGAAGCGCAGCATAGTGAAGCGCACCCTGCTTCTCTACACTGCTAGCAACCAACCCACCTTGAGGCTGCGCAGCATAGCGATGCGCAGCTCGTCCATTGAAGCCCCCACCTTGGTTAGTGCAAGGGGGAGCAAGTTCCAAGAGGCATGTGCACCTTGAGGCATGGCTAACCACCAGGTTACACACCTTGAGGCCGCGCAGCATGACGATGCGCAGCTCGTCCGTGGAAGCCTCCACCTTGGTGCGCGGGGGAGCAAGTTCCAAAAGACTTATGCACCTTGAGGCATGGTGAATCACCAGCATACCTTGAGGCCACGCAGCATGGCGATGCGCAGCTCGTCCATGGAAGCTTCCACCTTGGTGCGCGGAGGAGCAAGCAGTGCCGCCCGCTGTGCCGCCTCCTTCATCTTCTTCAGTCTCATCCGCGCCACCTTCACCTGCAAGCACCGCCTCATGGCTCCCCATGGCTTCCGCACCTTGTGGCCCCGCCAGTAGCGCTGCAGATGGGGACGTGGGGAGGGGAAGGTGATTCGGGGAGTGAGGGGAAAGGTGAGAAGGTATAAAGTGGGGAATCAGCAGTTACTGATTCCGTGGGGAAGGTGATTCGGGACGTCACTTTCCCTTGCAGGCACCGTGGCATGGCACGCCATGGCTTCCGCGTCCTCTACCCCCGCCAGTAGCGCTGCAGATGGGGACGTGGGGAGGGGAAGGTGATTCGGGGAGTGAGGGGAACGGGGAGAAGGTATAAAGTAAGGACGTCACTTTCCCTTGCAGGCACCGTGGCATGGCACGCCATGGCTTCCGCGTCCTCTACCCCCGCCAGTAGCGCTGCAGATGGGGACGTGGGGAGGGGAAGGTGATTCGGGGAGTGAGGGGAACGGGGAGAAGGTATAAAGTAAGGACGTCACTTTCCCTTGCAGGCACCGTGGCATGGCTCCCCATGGCTTCCGCGTCCTCTGCCCCCGCCAGTAGCGCCACACATGGGCGGTGGGGGAGGGGCTTGGGTGGGCAGTTTGGTTCGGGGGTTGGGAGAGAATGAACCACGTGCTTTCCTGCTGCATGCACGCTCGAGTAGTGCACGCTCTTCTGAATCAGATTTTGAGGCGCCTCAAAAGAGGGGCTTGGGTGGGAAAGGTGGTTCGGGGGTTGGGAGAGAATGAACCACGTCCTTTCCTGCTGCATGCACGCTCGAGTAGCGCACGCTCTTCTGACTTAGAGTCATGCTTAAGAGCCTCTAGACACACCCTGCCCGGGCACTGTCACCGCGTTGAACCTTCTCACACTCCTGAATGACGACAGTGGCCAGCGTTCTTCCGAGAAGGATGTGTCGCTATCCTGCCTGCTGCATGCGCACGTTTTTCTGAACCACGCTCACTCTTGGACGCACCTAGACACAGCAGGCCCGGAACACTGTCACCGCTTTGAACCTTCCCACACACCTGAATGGCAATGGTAGCCAGCGTTCTCCTGAGCAGGATGTACCGCTTCCTTGCTTGCTGCATGCACACGTTCTTCTGAATACCCTAGACAGACGAGCCCCGAGACACTTGCACCGCTTTCAACCTTCCCACACACCTGAATGACAATGGTAGCCAGCGTTCTCCTGAGAAGAATGTACCGCTTCCTCGCCTGCTGCATGCGCACATTCTTCTGAATCACATTTGCTGGTAAAACTTGAGCTCCCAGAAGCGTGTCTCCATCAGGAATCGCCGCACGTGCTTCTGAAAGAAAGGGGCTGCTGGAGTGGAAGCCCCTAGACACACCAGGCCCGCCACCCGAGACAATGGCACCACTTTCAACCACTCCACACACCTAAATGACAATTGTAGCCAGCGTCCTCCTGAGCAGGATGTATCGTTTTCTCGCCTGCTGCATGCGCACGTTCTTCTGAATCACAATCGCTGCAAACTTGAGCTCCCAGAAGCGCTTCTCCATCAGGAAGCGCCGCACGTGCTTCTGAATCACAATCGCTGTTGGAAGAGCCTAGACACACCCTGCCGGCCACCCAAGAGACTGGCACTGTTTTCAAGCATTCCACACACCTGAATGACAATGGTGGCAAGCGTTCTCCTGAGCAGGATGTACCACTTCCTTGCTTGCTGCATGCGCACGTTCTTCTGAATCACGATCGCTGCTGCAATCCTCTAGACTTACCAGGCCCGAAACACTGACGCCGCCGCACCGCTTTCAACCGTTCCACACACCTGTATGACAATAGTAGCCAGCGTTCTCCTGAGCAGGATGTATCTCTTCCTCGCTTGCTGCATGCGCACGTTCTTCTGAATCACAATCGCTGCAAACTTGAGCTCCCAGAAGCGCTTCTCCATCAGGAAGCGCCGCACGTGCTTCTGAATGACCAACGCTGCTGCGTCCTCCCTCAACTCTCTTAATAGCTTCCTGGCTCGATAGGCTGTGAGTGGGAGAAGAGATGGGCGAGTGGGGAGAAGGCAGGAGTGTGCAGCACAGATGGGTGCGGGTGTGGTGTGAGTGAGTGACACCAGAAGCGCTTCTCCATCAGGAATCGCCGCACGTGCTTCTGAATGACCAGGGCTGCTGCATCCTCCCTCAACTCTCTTAATAGCTTCCTGGCTCGGTAGGCTGTGAGTGGGAGAAGAGATGGGCGAGTGGGGAGAAGGCAGGAGCGTGCAGCACAGACGGGTGCAGGTGTGAGTGGGAGTGACACCAGAAGCGCTTCTTCATCAGGAACCGCCGCACGTGCTTCTGAATGACCAACGCTGCTGCACCCTCCCTCAACTCCCTCAGTAGCTTCCTGGCCCAGTAGGCTGTGAGTGGGGGAAGACGAGTGACAGTAGTGGGCAGAAGACCGGAGTGTGGGGATGTGAGTGGGAGTGACACATAACGCTTTTCCATCAGGAAGCGCCGCACGTGCGTCTGAATGACAAGGGCTGCTGCGTCCTCCCTCAACTCCCTCAACAGCTTCCTGGCTCGGTAGGCTGAGAGTGGGGGGTGGCATGGGTAAAGAGGAACAAGTAGGGAGAGGGAAGGGCGTGGGGTGAAGGAAAAAGCATGCAGTACAGTACGGCGTGAGAGAGTGAGTGACAGCTGCAGCATCAGGCTGCTAAGTTCACTTGAGCTCCCAGAAGCGCTTCTCCATCAAGAAGCACCGCACATGTTTTTGAATCACAATGGCTGCCGCACGTGGCATAGGAGATGCCACTTGGCAACTGCAAGTGGGTGGAACTAGTCTTGCCACTTGTACACATTTTTTTACTCAACTGCGATGTATGGTAAGATTACCTCTTAAAAAACCTGCCTTCTTGAGACCTACCTACTTTAACCATTTATTCAGATCTTACCTACTTAGGTTCACTCCTAAACTTAGCATCATATGAACTATACACTCCACAACAGCCACAACAATATGGGCTATATTATCCAGCATCCACTTCAAGTGACTGAGAGCCAGCTATCAATCATGGTATCAAGCAGTATCAGCTTCAACCATGGTATCAAGAAGAACGGCTAGCTGGCTCTCAGCCATTTGAAGTGGATGCTGGACAACATAGCCCATATTGTTGTGACTGTTTCAGGGTGCTAGTTCATATGATGCTAAGTTTAGGAGTGGACCTAAGTAGGTAGGATCTGAAAAAATGGTTAGAGTAGGTACGGTCTTAAGAAGGCATCATATGTTTTTTAAGAGGCGTTCTTACCAAACATTGCAGTTGAGTCAAGAATGCTTCATAATTTACGTGCTTCTGGAGGAACACGGCTGTTGCATCATGCACCTCAGCATAACATGAGTCAACTCCTGCACCAGCTTGCATTGCATGTGCTGCTGCTTCCAGCGCAAGAAGCTTCGAAGCCGGATTTTTCAAGAAATACTCTTGAACAGAAGGAACAAGCATGCCAGACAATGAACTGCCCTGCAACGCATTATACCACTCCGCACCGCGCTGCACTGCAACTCACCGCACCTCTCCAGCATTTGTGGATGTGAGTGGCCGCTCACATGCGCCCTCGTTTCCAAAGAAAGAACATTTCGAGCAATAAGCAGTCACAAGAATAGACAAGACACCACACCACAACACACCACACCACACCGCACCTCTCCAGTGTTTCTGAACAGCAACGATGGCCCTCTGAATCTTGGTAGCAGACAGCGAGGCTCATGCCGTACAGTTGGAGGTTTTTGAGGCGTCAAAAAAATCGCAGACAGAAGTTTGTCACACCACACTGCAGTGCACCACACTGCACCTCACCACAATGCACCAAACCACACCACACCACACCGCACCTCTCCAGTGCTTCTGAATGACAACAGCGGCCCGCTTGCGCTCCTGCTTCCAGAGGAAGCGGCGCACGGCTCTCTGAATCTTGGTGGCAGTGAAGGTTCATGCCACACAGTTCATGCGGTCAAGACGGAGCGAGGAAGCGCTAAGACGACCCACCCAGTAGAGAAACCAACCACAACAGAGAGAGGACGCAGCACACCACCACATTGCAGTGCACCACACTGAAGCACACCGCAACACACCTCTCCAGTGCTTCTGAATGACAATAGCGGCCCGCTTGCGCTCCTGCTTCCAGAGGAATCGGCGCACGGCCCTCTGAATCTTGGTGGCGGCAAGGTTCATGCGGTCGAGACGGAGAGACTCGAGTGTCACCAGCTGCACCCCCTTCATAAATACCTTTGTCTTGCCGATCTGGGAAGGAGAATGGGGCATGGAAGGGAAAGAGCAGAGAGTGGGGGAGTAGAAAGGGATGAACTCGAGCGTCACCAGCTGCAACCCCTTCATGAACACGTTCGTGCAGCCGATCTGGAAGGGGGATTTTGGCATGAAGGAAGGGGGAGGGAGACAAACAAGGGAGGGAAAGAGCGGAGAGTGGGGGAGTAGGAGAAGGGATGAACTCGTGGGTCACCAGCTGCACCCCCTTCATGAACACCTTAGTGCCGCCGAACTGAGGGTTTGGTTGTTGGAACGATGGTGGGAAAGAGTGGGGAACGGAATGGCGGAGAGACTCCACCGTCACCAGCTGCACCCCCTTTATGAACACCTTGAAAGACAAGGTTTATCACCTGACGTTGATGTCAGTCACCTGATGTCACACCAGCTCACCTGGCAATGTTGAATCCACCTGAAACAAGGAATTTCACCTGATAGTCTTCCAGCTCTGCCTGGGCCATAACTGCTTGAATCATCTCCTGGTGCTGCCCAGCTAGCCTGTCAGATGGGTGGTGATATGGAAGGAAGGTGAGAGAGTGAGCGTGTGAGAATGAAAAGGTACGGGGGGATGGGATCAATGTGAATGTTTCTGATGGCCATAACTGTTTGAATCATCTCCTGGTGCTGTCCAGCTAGCCTGTCAGGTGGATGGTGAGATGGGTGGATCGTGAGATGGAGGGATGAATGGAAAGGGTGAAGGTGGGGAGGTGGGATGGTGGAATGGCAGAGACGGCGGGATGGGTTACAGTGGGATGGGTTATGGTGGGATGGGCTACGGTGGGATGGGTTATGGTGGGATGGGTTACATACAATCGAACCAATTCGTCAAATCATACAGCAGGCAATAAGAAACAGCAAGAAAACACCTTTTCTCCGTGCTGCCAACCCCTTACTTCCTGCGATCCACCCCTTTATCCATCCTCCACACCCCTTCTTCCCTGACGCCCACCCCTTTCTCCCTCCATCGCACCCCTTCCTTCCTGCCGCCCACCCCTCTCTCCCTCCCCCCCACCCCTTCCTCCCTGTCCACCCACCTCTTTCTGTCTTGGCTTGGCAGCAGGGGGCTAAATCGTGCCTGAAAGTCTTCAAAGGTGCGCCGAGCTGGGTAGCCTGTGGAGCACAGGCGCACTGCCTCTAGCACACCCTGGGCGGAGAGGGGAGGGGAGGAGGGCGGGACAGGGGGACAGACAAGGAAGGCGGGTAGGTGCTAGCGGGTAGCCCGTGAAGCATAAACGCACTGCCTCTAGCATAACCTGGGAGGAAAGAGGAGGAGAGGAAAAAAAGGATAAAGGTGAGAGAGAGACAAGGACAGCGAGCGGATGCTAGAGGGTAGCCCGTGGAGCATAAACGCACTGCTTCTAGCACACCCTGAGAGGGAAGAGGAGAGTGGGAGAGGGCGAGACAGGGGGACAGACAAGGAAGGGGAATGACAAGGCGAGTGAGTACCAGAGGGTAGCCAGTGGAACACGGGCGTACTTCTGGCACACCCTGGGAAGAGAAGGGGAGAGGGAGGGTAGGGGGGGAGAGCGGGGCAGGGAGAAGGAAGGGGACAGACAAGGAAGGCGAGTGAGTGCTAGCGGGTAGCCCGTGGAGCGAATTGTTGAAGAGCCAGCTCTAATCTCCCAAGCCACCGCGGTTACGCTTCAAACCAATGAACACCACAAATCTCATGAGTCAATTTCATACTCTCAAGAGCCCGCACCTTGGCCCCTGATCGTAACTGCTGGACAACGAGCGTGTTGGAGAACTTCTGTGGCTTGAGGCTTCACATACGAAAGGTGGTGAGCGCCTAGAATGCTGGCGCGAAGTGACGGTTGGCAGTGGTGCTCCACTCACCCCTGATCGTAACTGCTCGACAACGAGCGTGTTGGAGAACTTCTGTGGCTTGAGGTCCTTGTTGGGCTTCACACAGCGCACGTAATGCGGCTCTGTTGCATTCAGCGTTCGCATCAACTCGCCCAGTTGCTCCTGGGGAGGTGGAAGGGGAGGGATGGAGGGGGGTTGGGTTGGGGAAGGAAGGGGGTTGGAGGAGGGGGGGGGGGGGATCAGGGGTGGAGGGTGTGGGGTTCGAGAGGAGGGGGAAGGCGTGGGGGGCTGAGGGGACGAGCAATATGAATGGCTGAGGGGGATACACTGTCGTCAGTGTTGCCTGAGTCAATCTGAAACGGCTTGAGGTCCTTGTTGGGCTTCACCCACTGCACATAGTGCGCCTTTGTTGCATCGAGCGCTCGCATCAGCTAGTCTCATTCCACGTGATCCCATCACCCCCAGCCCCTCTCTTACCTTGAACCGCTTCCCCAGGAACACGGCCTTGCCTGCCCTTGCCAGTCTCGAACGGCAAGAAGAGCGTTCGCACAAAGGCAGAGTGGGAGCGCGCAAGCAGCTCCTCGTGCTCTGCTTTCTCTCTTCCCACCCCCATCCCTTCTCACTCGCCCTAACCCCATTCCCCCTCATTCCGTGTAACCGACCCCTCACCTTGAACCTCTTCCCCAGGGAAACAGCCTTCCCCGCCTTGCCAGTCTCAGGCGGTGGGAAGAGCGTTCGCACAAAGGCAGAGTGCGACCGTGCCAAAAGCTCCTCGTGCTCCGGCACGAGCGCGTCGAGATTCTTCACCAGAAACTCCTCTGCCTGGTACTTCACCTGCAGGGGGATGGGGGTTGGTGGAGGTGGGGTTGAGAGGGAGTGGGGGGATTGGGGGAGGGGGGAGATAGGGGGGGTCTATGTAATGTAAGGAACACACTAAAGAGGCCTGTTGGCAGCTCCTCATGCTCCGGCACGAGCGCGTCGAGATTCTTCCCCAGAAACTCCTCTGCCTGGTACTTCACCTGCACAAAATAACGGGGGGAGAAATAAGGGGAAACCGAGTGGGAGCGGGCCAACATCTCCATGTGCTCCAAGCGAGTGATTTTTGAGAATTTTCAAAAATCACTCCCTGTGCTCCAAGACCGGGATCCAAACCCCACCTTGCCCGCGTAGTGCTTCATGTTAAAGTCAGCTCGTGACACCTTGGACTTGGAAAAGCACTAGTGCTTGAGCCATCTAACATGACTGCTCCTCACCTACCTTCCCCAGCACGCCCTTCCATTCCTCAACCATTGCCCCTTTAAACCCCCTAATTCCCCACCTTGCCAGCGTAGTGCTTCACACTCAAGTCAGCTCGAGACATTTTGGACTTGGAAAAGCGCTTGTGCTTGAGATACCTCCTAGACGCCCCCCACTTCCCTCACAATCAAGGCACCTCACCTTGCCAGCGTAGTGCTTCACACTGAAGTCGGCGCGATACATCTCGGATCTTGAGAAGCGCTTGTGCTTGCGGCAACTCACACCCCTGCCTTGTCTCTCCCTCCCACAGAACTCCCTCAATTTGCCCCCAATCTACGCACGCACCCAAGCACCCCAATTCCCCCCCATCCCACCTTGCCAGCGTAGTGCTTGACACTGAAGTCAGCGCGAGACATCTTGGACTTGGGAAAGCGCTTGTGCTTGAGACATCTCCTAAACGCCCTCCCCCTCCCCTCCCACGGACCATTCAACCCTATTCAGGGCGGGCGCCGCAACCCCACCTTGCCAGCGTAGTGCTTGACACTGAAGTCAGCGCGCGACATCTTGGATTTTGAGAAGCGCTTGTGCTTGCCCAGCGTGCTGTAGAGCGTCTGGCAGAAGGTCTCAGGCGTGGAGCTGTCTAGCTTGCTGGTGGAGGAGTGGGGGAGAGGGGGAAGGACACAAGAGAGCAGTGGAAAAGGAAGGCTTAGAGTGCAAGGTGGTTTGGAGAAGCGCTTGTGCTTGCCCAGCGTGCTGTAGAGCGTCTGGCAGAAGGTCTCAGGCGTGGAGCTGTCTAGCTTGCTGGTGGAGGAGTGGGGGAGAGGGGGAAGGACACAAGAGAGCAGTGGAAAAGAAAGGCTTAGAGTGCAAGGTGGTTTGGAGAAGCGCTTGTGCTTGCCCAGCGTGCTGTAGAGCGTCTGGCAGAAGGTCTCGGGCGTGGAGCTGTCTAGCTTGCTGATAGGGGGAAAGGAGGTTGGAGCACAAAGAGATATGAGACAAAGAGGAAAGGAGCAAGAGGGATGCAGGGTGGCGGGCTGGCTTGGCTTGTGCTTGCCCAGCGTGCGGTAGAGCGTCTGGCAGAAGGCCTCCGATGTGGAGCTGTCTAGCTTGCTGGTAGGTGAAGAAGAGGGTAGGGTTGGGAGGACAATAGGATATGACAGAAGGTCTAACAGAAGGTCTCAGGCCTGAAAGCTGCCTAGCTTGCTGCTTGGGGGAGTGGAGGGAGGTGCGGGGGAGAGAGAAAAAGGGAAGCAGGGACGAGACAAGAGAGGAGGAGAGGAGCACGAGGGTTCAGGGCTTTTGAGTCGACTCAGTAGGGGTCAGGATGAGAGGCTGGCTTGGAGAATCTATCGCATGCTTCAGCACTGAATGCTGTACTGAAAACATGCGAAAAAAGGATGGATGAGCACCAGTCACGGTCCAAGGATGCTTCAGTACAGTACAGTGCTGATGGGCACAATACCTCAGTAGTACAAACTACTAGTTGGAGTTTGCGAAATACTGCTTCCAAACAGCTATCAATGCTTACCAGGCGGAGTCCAGGAGCGCAAGAATGCCTTGATTCTGCATGCATGTGCGCACAGGGGCACAGGGGCAGAGGGGCACAGGGGCACAGGGGCAGAGGGGCACAAAGGTCGAGGGGAAGAAGAGGGGCAGAGGGGCACAGCGGCATAGAAGCGCAGGGGAATAAGAGCATATGGTTAACGGGCACTGAGGCATAGGGCATTGGGCAAAGGGGGCATAGGGGCATAGGGGGTAATGGGGAATATGATTTCGCATCCCTATAACAGTGAAAAACGTCCGCCACCCCCCTTGTTTAGTGAATCACCAACCCCACTATAAAAAAATGGCCCCTCACTCACCCCTTCAATCAGCTCAAGCACGTCTTGGTTGTCGACAAAGTCAATGCGAGACCAGTCGATGCCTGGTTTCGATACAGCCTCAGCCACTTGATAAGCTAATGAACACCTCTCACTCACCTCACCCCTTCAATCGCCCCAAGCACGTCTTGGTTGTCAACAAAATCGATCCGAGACCAGTTGGTACCCTCTGCGGCTCTGCCTGCCTCTTACCTGTTTTAAGTCGACTCAAAACAAGACATACCAATACAGTCTCAGCCCCTTGATAAGATAATGAACACCCCTCACTCACCCCTTCGATCAGCTCAAGCACGTCTCGGTTGTCAACGAATTCAACGCGAGACCAGTCGATGCCCTCTGCGGCTCTGCCTGCCTCGTACTGGTTTCGATACAATGACCACCACCCCTCACTCACCCCTTCGATCAGCTCAAGCACGTCTTGGTTGTCCACAAAGTCAATCCGAGACCAGTCTATGCCCTCTGCCTCGTACTCCTCCTGCTGCTGCTTCAACACGTGCTGTGAGTGGGCAGAGGGGGGAAGGGAAGGGGTTGTGGGGGTACGGCGGTAGGGTTGGGGATGTGAGTGACGCAGACCAGTCGATGCCCTCTGCCTCGTGCTCCTCCTGCTGCTGCTTCAACACGTGCTGTGAGTGGGCAGCAGAGGGGAGGGGGAGGGATAATGGCAGGTCGTTGAGTAGTGCAAAAAGACGGAGAAGATGAGAAGAGGAGGAAGAGGAAAAGGCACCAAGAAACAGAATCGGAGAACCAAGCAGGTTGAGTGAGAGCTTGAAAGTAACCGACTTCTCACACCTCTCATTTATACCCCCCCCAACACTAGTGTTTGGGATTCCCAGTCCAATCCGCATGTGGGTGACTTACTGAGTTGAAATGCTGCTGCAGCTTTTCGTTGGTGAGGTTGATGCACAGTTGCTCAAAGCTGGATGGGCGGGGAAGGCGAGTGTAGTGAAGGTAGAGGAGGAAGTGGTTGGGGGGAAGTGGAGGAAGAGGGGTGACGGGGGAGCAGAATATACAGCCGGAGAGGTTGATACACAGCTGTTCAAAGCTGGGCGGGTGGGGGGCAAAGGGAAGATGGAAAGAGGAAAGAAGGGAGGGGAGGGCAAGTGTGACAAACGAAAGCAGGACAACAAGAGTGGCAATCCAAGCAGGGAAAACAAAAAAATATGATGTATGCATGCATGCATGCTGTATGCACCTGGAAACACAGAAGCACGCACCTGTTGACTTTGAAGTGCTCGAAGCCGTAGATATCTAGCACTGCGATCCAATGATGGACGCGTGGTTTGCTTTGAGTCAGGTCAGCACACACACATGCACACCGTCCTGCCACCCTCCCCAACACACACATGCACGCACCTGTTGACTTTGAAATGCTCGAAGCCGTAAATATCAAGCACTCCAATGATGGACGCGTGGTTGGGGTCCTGCCCTATGCTCTCATTGACCTTTGACACGATCCTGGTGATGGGAGGCAGAGTGGCAGACAGAGAGTGGGTGGCAACGGAAAAGAGGAGGAGACTGGGCCTACCCCGAACGTGGTTGGGGTCCTGCCCTATGCTCTCATTGACCTTTGACACGATCCTGGTGGCGGGAGACAGAGTACCAGAGAGAGAGTGGGTGGCAACGGAAAAGAGGAGGAGACTGGGCCCATCCCGCACGTGGTTGGGGTCCTGCCCTATGCTCTCATTGACCTTTGACACAATCCTGGTAATTGGGAAGGGGGGAGCAGGGGAGAATTACAGAGAGGAAGATTACAGAAACTGGGATAAAACTCGCCAAAAAAATACACAAACTGTTAACAATGACGGATGCACTCACGGCTAGTCAAACAGGGGAGGGAGGCGGAAAGGGAGACCACCAGGGGCAACCCACCATTTGAAGAGGCGCGAGTAGAGGAATTTGGCGAGGGTGTCTCGCTTGACTGCCACCTTTTTCGGATCCAGTTCCCTCTTGATGACCTCCCGAGTGAGTTTGCTCCCTCATAAGGGAACACACACGAGTCAAAGAGGGAAGGGGTTGGAGCCGCAAGCTCACCAGTCAAAGAGGCGCGAGTAGAGGAACTTGGCGAGGGTGTCCCGCTTGACTGCCGCCTTCTTGGGATCTAGCGGGCTTTTGATCACCTCCCTGCCAAACTTGCGCGTCTGAGAGACGAGCGAGCCCCACAGAGCTGTCTCGTCACACCTGGCAGGCGAAGGAAAAGGGGAAAGGGGGAGCAAAGCGGGTCTTCTTGGGTTGGGGTCCAGCGGGCTTCAAATGACCTCTTGCCCGAACTTGATTTTTGAGGTGCCTCAAAAATCTTCAAATGACCTCTTGCCCGAACTTGCGGGTCTGGGAGACGAGGAAGTTTCACAGTGCAGCCTCGTCGCACCTGATGGGGGAGGTGCAAGGGGATGGTGGAGGGAGGAGGAATACAGGTGTGAGGGGCTTCTTGGGCTCTTGATGACCTCCCGGCCAGACTTGCGCGTCTGAGAGACTAGCGGGTCCCACAGTGCAGCCTCGTCGCACCTGATGGGGGAGGTGAAGGGGATGCGGGGTAGAAGGTGGGTGGACGAGGGACGAGGACGAGGAGTGAGGGCCAGTTTAAAGCACAGCCCATCCCCTTCCATGTACTATCTACATCACAGCCACGCCATGCACTCCCCTCAGCCTACTGGAGCAGGCGTGCCACTATCCTCTGCCTTGTCGTTCTTTGCCACAAGAATGGGCTGTCGCCTGCCCTGTCCCATCCCATCCCATCCCATCCCATCCCATCCCATCCCATCCCATCCCATCCCATCCCATCCCATCCCATCCCATCCCATCCCATCCCCATGCTGACCGCATGGCCCCTCCACACCACATGGTACCCCCCGCATGGTACCACCCTCACCACAGGCACCACCACCTACTCGAGCAGACGTGCCACTATCCTCTGCCTTGTCGTTCTTTGCCACAAGAATGGGCTGCTCGCTTTGCCCCATCCCATCCCATCCCACCCATGCTGACCGCATGGCCCCTTCCCAGGTACTAACCACAGGCGAAACCTACTCGAGCAGGCATGCCACGGTCTTGACTGCAGCCTCTGCCTTGTCGTTCTTGGGCACCAGCGGGGGCTGCTCGCCTGTTGATGCCACAGCATAGCCCATCGCCTTCCCCGGTACCACCCCCACACCAGGTACCACCACCTATACCACAGGAACAAAGCACATACTCGAGCAAGCGAGCGACTGTCTTGACTGCAGCCTCTGCCTTGTCGTTCTTTGGCACCAGCGGGGGCTGCTCGCCTGTGCCGTCTGGATCTGGCTGCGTGAAGTCCACGTTGCCCAGATGCAGTATCGCTGCCACCACTGTGAATATGCCCTCCTGGTGGTGAGGGAGGGAGATAGCAGCGACAAGCACAAGAGAAGAGCAGGTGTGGAAGAGCAGGTGTGAGGAGCATGAGTGAAGGGCTGCTCGCCTGTCCCGTCTGTGCTCTCCGGCTGGTTGAGGTCCACGTTTCCCAGATGTAGAATCGCTGCCACCACTGTGAATATGCCCTCCTGGTGGTGGGGAGATAGCAGTGACAAGCACGAGAGAAGAGCAGGTGTGATGTGAGGAGCATGAGTGAAGGGCTGCTCGCCCGTCCTGTCTGTGCTCTCCGGCTGTGTGAAGTCCACGTTGCCCAGATGCAGTATCACTGCCACCACTGCGAATATGCCCTCCTGTGAAGACATGCGATGAGATGAGAGCATGACGGATTGAGGGAATGAGGTCAAAAGCATGACCAAGTGGTGGTACTCTCTGCTCTCGCCTCTTGCATCCCCTGTCAAATGATCTCCGGCTGCAAGAAGCCCACGTTGCCCAGATGCAGTATCGCTGCCACCACTGCGAATATGCCCTTCTGGTGGTGAGGGATTGGGGGAATGAGGGCGAATGGTTGGTCTAATCCCACCCACCCACCCCCTTGTGAGAACAATAGTTTGAAGAGAAGTTGATGATTGAATTGAGGAGATTGGGGGTTTACATAGGGAGTGGGTTGGATCCTAGCCTAGGTGAGCATTATTGGACCCCAACCAAGAAGTTGGGTTGGGGGATTATTGGTGGGGTCCAATAATGTTGGCCAAGTTGGAGTTGGGCCAACATTATTGGAGTGAACCAATAATTCTACCCAACCCAACCTTTGGGGTCCAATAATTGGACCAAGGTTGGGTTTCCAACCTACAAACTGGGTGACCCCTGTTTGTACACCCAAACTGAGTTTGGGTGCTTAACTCTAGCCTAACCTATAACATCTATGCAGGTTACACAAGAAGATAGATTCTAACACAACCCCTTAACCTGCAGAGATGCGGAAAGGCTTGAGTGAAGCAACCCCTGAATCAAGGCGCGCCTGGGGGAGCGAGGCCGATGAGGCGGAGAAGAGCAGAGTGCGCAGGGCGAAGGAGTGCTTTGGTGAAGATATCTGCCAAGTTGGCTTCAGCGGCGATCTTACGAACGGCAATGAGATTCTGTTGGACGAGTTCACGGATGAAGAAATAGCGGAGCTCAATGTGTTTGGAGCGACCGTGGAACACGGGGTCTTGGGTGAGATGGATGGTGCTGGCATTGTCACACCAGAGCGTGGGGCAGCGCTGGGGAACACCAAGCTCAGCCAGGAGGAAGCAGAGCCAGCGGGACTCCTGGGCGGCCATGGTGCCAGCATAGAGCTCAGCTTCACAGGAGGAGAGGGCGATGGCAGAGGAGCGGGTAGAGCGCCAGCTGATGAGGCCGCTGCCGAGGGTGAAGCCATAGCCTTGGGAGGAGCGGCGGTCTGGCTGGCAGTCTGCCCAGGAGGAGTCGCTGAAGCCAGAGAGAAGGGGGGGGGGAAGATCCACCCAGCGTGAGAGCGTGGTCTCTGGTGCCACGGAGATAGCGGAGGACCCGCTTGGCGGCAGTCCAGTGTTCCTCAGTGTGGCGGCCGGGGCCGACGAACCGAGCAAGGACGCTGACAGGGTAGGCGAGGTCGGGACGAGTGCACATCATCGCGTACATCAGCGACCCAACAAGCTCGGCGTAGGGCCGGGAGGAGGTGGAGGGGGAGGTGGGTGGCGCAAGCTGGTGACCGAAGGGGAGAGGGGTGGAGACCGGTTTGGCTTGTGCCATCTCGAACTTCTCCAGGACCTGGCCGATGTAGTGGGACTGGGAGAGGGTGATGGTGCGGGCGGATCGATCACGGGTGATAGCCATGCCGAGGTAGTTCTGAAGCGGACCAAGGTCCTTGCACTTGAGACGTTCCTGAAGTGACCGCTTCACATGATCCATGTCAGCCCTGGTGTCGGCGAGCAGGATCATGTCGTCGACGTAGACCGAGATGAAGAAGCGACTGGGGGAGGAGCGGATGAAGAGGCTGGCATCGGAGTGGGAGGGGGAGAAGCCAAGGGACTGGAGAGTAGCAGACAGCTTCGCATGCCATTCTCGTGGTGCCTGCTTCAGGCCGTAAACCGGGCGCTTTAGTTGCCAGACGGTGTTTTCGGGGAAAGCCGCATGAAACCCAGGAGGTCGGCGGAGGAAGATGCGCTCGTGCAGTTCGCCTTGCAGGAACGCGTTGGAGACGTCCATGGAGTCAATCTCCATGTCGTCACGCGCACCGATGTCCATAAGGGTGCGTAGGGTGGCTTGCCTGAGGGTGGGGGCAAATGTGAACCAGTAGTCCTCAGCCCAGGTCTGGGTGAACCCCTTGGCAACATAGCGGGCTTTGTAGACTGGCTCCTCTCCCGGCAGCTGTTTGACTCGAAAGATCCACTTGCCCTCGACAAGGTTGGCGTCAGGGGGAAGGGGAACGTCGATAAAGGAGTCGTTGTGAATGAAGGCCTCACACTCCAGGAAGATAGCGGCTAACCACTTGTCAGCGTCAGGGCAGGTGATAGCCTCCTGGAAGGTGGTGGGGACGAAGATGGTGGGAGCGGAGATCGCGCTAAGGATCAGAGCGCCGAAGAGGTCAGGGTAAAGTGTGAAGATAGAGGGAGTGTGGCGCCGGACCATGGCGAACTCCTCATGGGAATCCTCGAGCTGGTGGAGGGAGGAAGGTGGCGGTGTGCCAAGGATGGGATCAAGAGAGCGGGTGTGCATGCGAGGGAGGAGGAAGGGTGAGGAGCGGGCAGACGCCCTCCGCCGCTGCTGCTGCTGCTGCTGCTGGACCCCCTGTTGCTGCTGCGGCCGCTGCTGCGGCTGTTGTTGCTGCTGCTGCGGCTGCCCCTGTGGTTGTTGCGGCGGCCACTGCTGCTGCCCCTGCTGCTGCTGGTGCGGCTGCTGCTGCGGCTGCCCCTGCTGCTGCTGCTGCTGTGGCTGCTGCTGCTGCCCCTGCGGCTGCTGCTGCGGCTGCCCCTGCTGCTGCTGCTGCTGTGGCTGCTGCTGCTGCCCCTGCGGCTGCTGCTGCGGCTGCTGCTGCTGCTGCTGCTGCTGTGGCTGCTGCTGCTGCCCCTGCGGCTGCTGCTGCGGCTGCTGCTGCTGCTGCTGCTGCCCCTGTGGCTGCTGCTGCGGCTGTTGGGATGGATGAGAAGGAGAGTAGGAAGGAGAGGAGGGAGAGGGAGCCGCGGAGTGTGCAGGGGATGCTGGAGCAGTGGGATCATAGATATCGGCAGATGAGGGTGGCGGAAGCGGAGTGGGGAGGGGTGGGAGAAGGGGTGCTGGAGGGAGGAGGGGAGGGAGGACGGTGTCGGTCCAGGCGAGAGGACGGGTGGGAGGAGGGAGGGGGTCTGGTGGTGGAGAGGAATAATATGGGGTGGTCTCATCAAACACAACGTCAATGCTGCGGATGAGGCGACCGGAGGGAGGGTGAAGGAAAAGGTAACCGGGCGAGTCGCGGTTGTGGCCGAGGTAGACACACTCGAGGGCACGAGAAGCGAGCTTGCCGTGGGTGCGTTCAGGTGGAGGGATGAGCACATATGCCTTGCAACCCCAGACACGAAGTCCGGCAGCGTCAGGTTTGGTCCCTGACCAGAGCTCCGTGGGGGTAGTGGCGGTGTGGCAGGGATGGGAGCGAAGGTTGAGGAGGAGGGTAGCATGAAGGAGTGCATAGCCCCAAAGAGAAGGAGGGGTGGAGGCGTGAGCGAGGAGACAGCGGGCGATCTTAGTGATTTCGCGAATGCGGCTCTCTGCGACGCCGTTCTGCTGTGGGGAGTGGGGAAGAGTGTGGGTCTGTTGGATGCCATGAGTGGTGCAGTAGTGAGTGAGTGCGCGATTGA